CATTTGGGCCCCTTAAGGTCAATGTCACTTACTAGAAATAGGTCAATAACTTTTGGAAAGTGCTATTGCAGTGAAACATGGCGTATAGTAACATAGTCAAGATAATTTCAATTTTTCCATCTGCTGTTTGTGGCGCCGTTATATGTCGCATAGCCCCTAAATGTCGCACCATTACCGCTAAACTGCCGCTAAATGTCGCATAATTGACTACCGTAAAATGTCGCAATTGTAATTTTAAATGTCGCACGATTTTCCCCTACGGTTAAATGTTGCAACACTACCGTTAAATCTCGCAAGATGTATATTCATGATAAAATTAAGCTTCCTAATGGTATAATATTACAATAATCACACACTGAATGGTTGTTTATAATTAGTAACTTTGTGACTTAAAGGAATGTCCCGAATCTGCTGACTCAAGACGAAATATGCTTTTTAAATGTCTTTTTTGATTGATATTAAAATGTAAAAGCGATTGATTAAAGTATAGTATGCAAACTTCCTATTACATCTCGAGTTGCCATGAAAAAACTGTAAACCAAAGTAACTATAATCAAATAGTAAGTATCATCTTGTATAATCATCAGCCCGACAGGTTAGACCAATAAGTGAAGTGTCTGCCATTCTCCTTCGTTTTTCTAGATGATTTGGGTGGAGAAGTTAAAAAACATAAACTTGACATGCTACTGAATACTTTTTAACTGGCAATGAAAGAAAAGAAAGAAGAAAAGTTGAACAACTAATCAGGTTTGTTTGCATAAATGAAATTTATAAAAACCAATCCAACTGTGACAATATAATAAACCTAGAGAGAATAATACATAATTATAATATAATACCTATAAACATGCTTGTAGGTGAAAGGCCGACACGCAGTATGAAATACTGATCTTAAATTAAATTTCAATTGAATCTTTCTGGACAATCATCTAGCTTGAAACCACGACATCTGGGTTTTTAAATGAAAAAAAAAATACAAATGCGTTTTATCACCAAGGGGTTCTTTGGCATTAACAAGAGCTGTCGGTAGGACAGCAACGCTCGACTATTCTTAGTGCGTGATAGTAAAAAAAAATGCTTCATACAATTACCTCCTCCTGTTTACAGGTTGGGGTAATGATAGTGAACAAGTGTGCAAAGTTTCAAAGCCATATATCAATGGACTTTGAAAATATTTGAGGTATTACAAAAACTTTAACGTAAATTATCAGTCGAAAAAGGGACATAATTCTGTCAAAATACTTGATACAGTTACCTCCTCCTGTCTACTGGTTGGGGTGATGATGGTGAACAAGTGTGCAAAGTTTCAAAGCCATATGTCAATGGACTTTGAAAACATTTGAGGTATTACAAAAACTTTAACATAAATTCTAAGTCGAAAAAGGGGCATAATTCTGTCAAAATGCTTGATACAGTTATCTCCTCCTGTCTACAGGTTGGGGTCATGATGGTGAACAAGTGTGCAAAGTTTCAAAACCATATGTCAATGGACTTTGAAAATATTTGAGGTATTACAAAAACTTTAACATAAATTCTAAGTCGAAAAAGGGACATAATTCTGTCAAAATGCTTGATACAGTTATCTCCTCCTGTCTACAGGTTGGGGTCATGATGGTGAACAAGTGTGCAAAGTTTCAAAGCCATATGTCAATGGACTTTGAAAATATTTGAACTATTACAAAAAATTTAACATAAGTGGTTACGTCGACGCGGACGCAGACGCAGACGCCGACGCCGACGCTCGGGTGACTACAATAGCTCTACTTATTCTTATCGAATAGTCGAGCTAAAAATGGTTGTCAATTTAACATACCAACAAAGATTACTTTAATTTCAACCAATATGTTAGATATCACAGCAAGTCTTTCCTATTTGAGAGAAAGCTGGTCCCCAGTCCACTTCCAAAACTTTAATATTGACATGATACCAGTTTTTGTACATGAATATAGATAGTGCGACATTAACGGTGGTGTTGCGACATTGAGCGGTAAGGGAAAATCGTTCGTCATTTAACGTTACAATTGCGACATTTAACTGTAGACGATTTTGCGACATTTAGCGGCGGTTGCGACATTTAGCGGCAAGTGAAACATATAGCGGCGTTGCGACACATAACGGCGCCACACTGTTATCAAAAAATACTAACTTAATTATTCTTTACAATGGTGATAATTGAAAACCTGGTTGCGTGGCATTGCCATGTTTCTTGTTTGTATATGAAAACCATTGTGCAGTAGTTAAATGGTCGGATTTGTTTTGAACGATAAACTGTGTATTCTGTTTCCTTATTATTTGTGACATATATAGTATGTCAATAGTATTCCAAAGCGTAGGTAAATGCAACTGACATTTATCAAATAAATATGAAAGTGTGTCTCTTTGACACCTATATGTTGTCACAATGACTGTGAGTTATTGTGTCAACAAATAATTAATTAATCGATTGATTTATGTACACCGTAACAGTGACTGACATTTACCTACCGGCTCTTTTGTTAAAAGCGGTCTAGTAAATCACTTACCGACCGCTTAACAGGTCTGCAAATATGTACCGACCTGCTTTTGTTCTATTGTTCTCTATACAATAGAAAATATGTGAAGTCGAGAAACTCGTGCATTACACAATATTCACCGTAAACGCAGAAATTTTGAAAAACAACGCTGAATTGTGCAAGTTCATATGGGGGGGGGGGGTAATGACCACTTCGAATAGGAAAAGGCTCGATATATATTTTAAAGTACATTTCATCAAATTAATAGAAAAAAATAAGCGCATACGGCTGTAAGAACCCTCATAACATATATTCCAAATTATTTGTGAGAAAAACGAACTGGCTACTGTTCTGGCGTTGAAGTTTGTGTTTCGCCAATATTAATGAGAACAATAACGCACATTTAGCCTTTCTTTATAGTTTGCTTTTCGGTTTATCTAACACATTTGCCGAACTATATAGCTTCATAAGATACTAGTTTTCGGCATCTTTTTCCACAACTATGTCTAATTTTGCACAATCCTGCACTATTTTAACAATTCTGCATTATGGGATATATACGACGATTATATTATCGGTGCATATCGAATCAAAGTCAACTTCTGCATCTTTCTTTCCCAAAATATTACTTTCAGTGAGATTAGTTCATCTTATGTCTCGTTAATAATCTTATTAAACACATTCAGACCCAATAATTAATTATTATAAATCGGTTATCTACGCAACATGTACGCTTGTGTGTGACTGAGTGTGTGTTTGTGTATAATTGTGTTTGGTTTAATTGCCTTTGTCACCCGCAAAAACATGAGATCGCTAGCATTTCATACTGAATAATGCAAAAGACTATAAGCTAAAACTCCGTGAGCATCCACATTTTGCCCGTGCTTGAACTACAGCTATATACCTTATAACCAAATGGCTCAAAAATGATATTAATGTCAGACATTACAGAATGATGTTTGTGATTTATGGACTAAAATATTTGATGATTAAGATTTGCTACGATATATACATTAGTTTACCTTCGTCTGGCATATAGATAAGTGACCTACCACGCGAGAAATTGAGTTTTTTTTTCTAAAACACATTCACCCTTTGAGACTTCGTATCGGCAAACTCTTGCATTTATTTCAACAGAAATTTGATACTTGATATAACCAACGAAGATTTTTTAACTACAGTACTTTAGAATTTTTATATTGAACTGTTACTTGAATCTGTTCTAAAACCACCGAAAATGCGATTGAATTTGGTCATATTGACTGGTCTATTAACGCGCAACAATTTCCTATTTCATCGTTTGTTGAACCATAGTAACTAGAATCAAATATACCAATAGTTAAAGTGTCTGCCGCTCCTCTTTTCTAGATGATTTAGGTGGAGAAGTTCAAAAGCATAATAAACTGGTCATGATAATACTATTTTACTGGCAATGAAGGAAAAGGAAGAATAAAAAAGCGAAAAATTAATAAATAATCCGGTTTGTTTGCATGAAAACTAATTAAATTGTGACAATATAATAATACCTACTAGTAGTTAGAATACTACTAATACATATAATACCTATGAAACATGATTGTACATGTTGTAGATGAAAGGCCGACACACAGTATCAGTTGAATCTAGCTTGAACCTACGACGTCTGTCGCAAAATCTTCTATCGTTACAATTACGACATTTACGGTAGAAGATTTTGCGACATTTAGCGGTGGTTGCGACATTTAGCGGCAATGGTGCGACATTTAGCGGCGTTGCGACATATTATGGCGCCACACTGTATTTAACATAGTTTGTCTATTCGAATTGTGTATATATAACAGCCTTAATTTCCAATATGTTCTAAGATAATGAAAGCAAAATTGTTTTAAATTTTAATGCACGAGATAACAATCCCGCCTAATGACGACATTCAAATATAAATAATGTATTGAAAAGCATATTTTATTACACAAAAACATACATTAAACAATACACTTGACATAATATATGTTGCATATAAAAATGATTCAAAGATGCGCAAAATAACATACGAGGGTTGGTCAATGTGTAATGCAATATGATCAATAATTAAGATAGCACAGGAGCAAATATTTTATAATTTTCTATTTCAACTTTCCAAATAACAGTCCTCATTAGGTTTATCTTTCAATAACCGAAAAAAGCCGAATTCACATAGTGCAAAGTCTGGAGTATACAGTAGATGTTCAAGGCCAGTCAATCGTTTTTCCAATAAAAAAAAAAAAATACAACTACTACTACAGTAGCTCCTTTGTATTCAGGAGCATTGTCATGCAGAAAATACAGGCCTTTGAAGAACTTTTTGACGTGTTTCTTTAATACTTGGATGTAGCAGAACGGTCTATTGTTACACTTGCGAACGGGCGTATAATAAAATAGTAAACCAAGCTTTCATCATCAGTCACAACATTAGAAAAACGGCGACTGTCATATTTTAAGTAACATTTTCAGTAATTTAACTCGCTCCCAGTTAGCAAATGTGGTGTTATTTATTTATCTTTCAAGTGATTCTTCAGACTCTATACGTTGACCCTTCTGATATCCTTGCGATATGGGCGTATTATACTAAGCGTTTACAAGGAAGTTACTCGTGGAAGGTGTTTTTAATATAAATAAAATTCTTAATCGGTCAACTGCACACGTGATTTTAGTAATACTTGAAAGCAGGTGCTTTGAAGCATTAGCATAATTTACACACGGGTTAATTAGAAAATATACTTCATATTGCATTACATATTGACCCGCCCTCGTACTCTTACATATTTTAAAGTTCATCTAAATTTATGTATATATCAGTTATACAAAAGAAATGTGCGCAATGAAAATCGGATGTATGAAATACTAAATACTATACAATATACAAAGTAATTGATATATCCTTGTGACGTATATAGAAGAAGATACTTTTTTGTTTTTGTTAAAGGTGAGATAAAAAGTTCATCTAACACTAAAAACAAAACAAATTTATATTTTTTTTTATTTATTTATTTTTTTATATATAAGTTAAAATCACACTTCTTCAATAAGACATTAAGTATTTTAAAATCTGCTTTCCCCATTTCAGGAGACTTTCTCAACAAAAGCAAAATAGAAGTTTTAAAAAAAAACATTAATAGATGGCGCTGATATTGTTATTTACTTGAAATGATTGTTTGATCAAATAAAATAGATAAACAAATATGGAAGTTATTTTATGCATTTGACTCAACGATGCATATTTGCATGTGGAAGAAATTATAAAAATCAGACTGTTATGAAACCCAAAATTAAAAACAATGTTTAGTGATCAGTTGATTTAATGAATTGAAGTTGTTTTTTTTACATTTGACTATGTTTATAACTTTACTTATTAATCGCTTTCAGCTTTTGTTTTGATAAAAAGGTCTAGTTATATCTGAATTTACAGATAAATATTCTGTAAGCGAATATTAATGTAAGATATCACATGGAGATTTTTTTTAAGCAGTAGTTTTTTTATTGGAAAGCGTGAAATTACATTTTATCACTGTGAAATTATCAAAATATATCCTTTTTTATTAATAACTCAGTAATTCGATCAAAAGCATGAAATAAATGACGTTTATTAAACACGTCACAATGTTTGATAACGTCAAAATACTGTGTTTCTCTGGCAAAAAAAAATGTTTGTGTGCATGTCCTGTGTCTGTTCTTGATTTGGTGTATGCAGTGTCATTTTCGTATGTTTTATATATGGTTTTTAGTTGAAGAGAATCTATTTATGGCAGATATTTACAATAAGCACATTATTAAACGCATTGCAAAATGATTCAAAATTGTAAAAATACACGATAACATCACCCGTTCATTTTACAAAACATTTAGTTTAAGCGTCATGTAAAAATTAACTATGTACATCAACAAACAATAGCGAAAGTCGAACAAGTTCGAAAGTCAAACAAGTGCGACGTCTAACCACACTGGAGATTCATTCGTCAGAGTCACAATTGGTGACGTCATTTATTTAAATTGTTGGAGTCCGCCTCATGGCGTACATCTTGCACAGAATTTTCGACAATTCATTTCCACCCAGTTGTAGAATGACAAATCCGTGCAGACGGCTGATCCGTATTCCGCACAGTTAGGGAGTTTATCTACGCAGCTTGAAGCTGAAAATGAAAACAGTATTTTACAATATAATTAACAATATAACCATAATAAAAATAAATGTGAAATACGTAAATGTTCTTAACCAAAACAAGCAAGTTATCGTGATTTATTTATTTATTCATTTGTAAATCGATTGATTAATCGATTCATTCATTCATTCATTCATTCATTCATTCATTCATTCTTTCTTTCTTTCTTTCTTTCTTTCTTTCTTTCTTTCACACAATAAATTACTTTACTAAAGTAGATTTAGTTTATTTATCTTTTATTTATTTATTCATTTACGTTAAGGATTTCAGCATAGATATAATACTTACTACATCTATTACAATGTTTTCGGCAGTTCTCATTGGCCCAGTTGTAAAACTTAACGTCACTACATAAAACTTTTCCGTACTCAGCGCAGTTTGATACAGCATCTTTACAGGTTGCTGAAATGTGTAAAACACGAAACATTAAAAAGACATCATTTAAAATGTAACTTTATAAAAATGAAAGCTGTGTGTATAGGAACATAATATATATTTTTAAAGGTCCAATATGCCTCAGCAATTATTTTGTTTTTATTTCTCAAAAGCTTTTTATTTTTGAGGTCCTGTTGTAGTTTCCAAAAAGTTACTCATTGGTCAAAAACCTAAATCATCTTTCTGGCAATTAGTATGACAAATAATTTCACTTCCAGCTCTACTTTCTTTGAGTACTAGTATATATTATAAAATCTTCAGCGTACCCGTTTATAAACTATGACATGCTGCATCAGATGAAAAACAAAAATGTTAAATAGCGGCTTATAAAGTTTTGGAAGCCAGAACTATTTGAGTACTAGATCTAACATTATTCTTGACAGGTTATTTAGTCGAGTATGAATGGTCGATTACTATATAACTCTCGCTTAGTGGTAATTTAAACTTACATTCGTTTCAACTGGACCATATACCCTTCAGTAATATAAATCTGGTATATATATATAACCATATCGCAAAAAGATTTTCGGGAAAAAATATTTAGAAACAAATGTTTAACTTACGTGATCCGCCGTCTGAATCCATGAGCTTTCCTACACCAATATGTGAGCCTAAAATTAATTCAAGCATTTTTTTTAAATGTACGTTTATAGATCAAACATATTACACAAACTAACAAACTTTTTTCTGAACAACAATTGTAAACCGTTCAGCTGTTTAATCAACCCAAATCGCGGTGCACTAATCTTGTTGGATAAATTAGTATAATTTCATGCAGTTCTATATTTCAGTTAGCTAAAGGATATTTTTTCCAGTATTTCAGTCATTTAAAGGAACATTGTATCAGTGTTTCAGTCATCTAAAGAATTTTTTCAGTTAACCAGTCATTTAAATGAACAATTTCTCAGTGTTTTAGACATCAAAAGGATTTTTAAGTGTTTCAGTCTTTTAAAGAACATTTTATGTTTTATGTAAAATCACCGATAAAAATCAAGTTTGAAATATTATTTAATGTTATTGTTAAACGAAAATATTTTTGTGTTCATAAAACGTTTAGAATATTGCTAAAGATGACCTACCTGCTGTTGGTTGGCTACAAAGGTTACAATATGATGGACAGTTGGCATGGGTCCAGTCAAAATATTGCGGATCTGTACAGATTTCCGGAGAGTACCTGTCACATGCGACACTATCTTTACACACCCCTGTCAATAACAACAACAGACACAATTATAAAATTTCCCCGGTCAACAATTCGATATGATATTATCTCATTTGTTGTTTTTTCTCCTGTAGAAACAAGTCAAAATAATAACACAAAATTATTCGAGGTTCACGGCATCCAGTTAATTTGTAATCCCGCCATTCAATTGCTTTTAATTTTTGTTCTGCTTTAGCTTAAACATTTTAGTTCCATTATGTAGGAAGCTTAGACACAGTCTCAACCAGTACTGAGCAATAAATGAAAAGTTTCTTGCTCAAGGAAACAACGGTTTGTCTCTAATGGGGTTTGAACCCTTGCGGCTACCAATCCTTAGATAACTAGTTCGACACGTAAACTGCTCGGCCTTGCCGCCATTTGGCTCTGATTTAGTAAAATAGTTACTGTATATTGTCATGTACAGCCGAAAACAAATCGTGTCAATTTACACGAGCGTTTAGCATTTTCCATTCTACAATGTACTATGAAATATGCACTGTACATTTACAAAACTGAGATTTATGCAAAATTCTAGGTTAAATTTGTCATTAATTATAAGTTAAAACTCTAAAAGTACTGAAAACGTTGTTTGTGTCTTTATTTTATTATTATTATCATTTTATTTATTTATTTATTAATTTATTTTTTATTTTTTATTTTTTTTATTTATTTTTTTTTCGACAAAGAGAAATTCAAATGAAATTAAGATAATGAATGGAGTTTTTACTATAGTAAAAAGGAATGTTACTTGAAGAAACGCATTGAGATGCATGATTCCGTTGCCACTTTTTATAATATTAAGGATCTAAAATTCATTCAGCAAAAACCAAATGTACACATTATACATGATAAGCCCATAATGCTGGTAATTGTTTTATTTCAATACTATCTTACGACAAATATATAATGTACATAATGTATCACCAATAGGTGAATTATAGAAATAAATATAAATAAATAGGATAAGAGACTATGAAATTACAAAAATCTAACAAAAAAAGAAAAGCAATGTATTGGCAAGGCGCTTTAAGCATATTTGGGTAACATTTCAGAATTTTCATTAAAAGGTATTCATTATCGACCATTATTTGAATAATTAATAGCCTATATTTATTGAACAGATTCGGTGCATCGCAAATTTTAAACAACCGTTGTATAAGTGCGGACAGTAAAAAATGTTCAAATATATATTCATGTTTATTGATTGATTAAATAATTTTATCTATAATTTAATATTTTGTCATTAAAGTATGTTTTGATTGTTTGTGTATATATATAATGATGATTCCAAACGCTGCAAGATTGTTTTTTTTAATTACAATTCAACTGTATTTTAAAATGAATACTTACCCCGAACAACTGTAAAAGACTGAAAGCACGTACACACAACTGCAAGAACTGTCACTGCTATCTTCATCATTGCTAAATCTATGTTGTTACGTGAAACGGAATGGAATTAAACTCGCGCCACTTAACTGCTAAACACAAACAACAAAGTAGTCCGTGAAGAAGTCAGGGAATGAATGTAGTAATTGGGTTTTCAGTAAAATTTATATAACTTTTGCTTGGACGAACTTTGCCCCTTCATTTGATTTACAATGCATCAAGGTTTAAGGTCGCTTAATTCCTTAAGGGAACAGAAAATAGTAACAATGTTTACAAACTGTAAGCAAAATAATTCAAATTCCTTGGTTGGCGGGAATTCCGTTGTCTGGAGGAATTTAGAGATTTTTGCGTTAATACGGTCAAGTTCATATGCCATTTAGATTGTGGATGGTAGAAATTGTGTGGTTATTAAATAATAAAAGGGGGATATTTGAGTGGGTGTGCCCATCAATAATATGACATATGGATCATAATTTTGATATCAGGAAGGGTTGGAATCGATATGTTTGAGCTCAATCAAAATCTATAAACAAACAAAGATATTAAAATTTGCTTTTAGGATTTATATTGATGAACATACGCCTTAACTGCGAGTTTTGAAGAAATCGCCACAAAAATATTTCCTTGAACAAAATTTCATCTCTTTTATTAATTAAATTTTGAAATTCTATTATACAAAAAAGGCCGAGCAAAATAAATTTACCTTTACACTTTTTGTCTGTTTTATAAGTTTAGTGATATAATTTATGTAAAAATCAAATATATATATTTCTTTTTCTTTTGTTCTATTTTTATCATGATAAAAACAAATGTAGAGGTAATTTAAGGTCAAAACGTGAGCAAGGTTGGATCATCCTTAGTGTGGATGCCAATACATGTTTGTTTGGTGAAATATTAGGGTTTTATAAAGAATACAGCCAGGAATAACTTGATAGCATAAACACGGGGCTTTTCCGAATCACGACTTGTAAACCAACTAATTTTCAAATCTCTTTATTACTTAAATTTGAAAATTGTTTAATACTTTATAGCTAATTGCTGTCTAAACAATGACATTTATTTTCCGCTCATGAATTATTTGAATGCATGTATACGTTGGTGTATCACGTGAAATATATAGTAGTGTTGCACACTTTAATAAACGTATACCTTTTCATTTATCATTTAAAGAACAATCTGTACGACTTTGTAACAGTTTCTCTTAATAAGCAATGTAATGCAAAGTTTTTCGCAGTCGGATGACGGATACATGGAAATTCAGCCTAAGCCCTCGTTTAACATACGCACGGAAATGAATGACTGGGCCATCGCAGAGGTTTTTACCTGATTTTGGCATTTGTACCCATTTTTAAATGTTCATTTAATGCAAGACAACTACAGACCGTTCTATTTTGAAAGAAAGGACGCTGTAGGAAGTTACTGTAATTTACGCGAAATATTTTATTTATGTTATTTTAATTAATCGGCTGGTACCCTATCCATAAAGCCATTTACGTTTGGTTTCTAACAATATACGCTTTATGAAGTCGTTTGTTTATATGAATCTTTTTTATTGACTGTCATGTGACCGCATCTCGACCAATCGGGGGAATGAATCTGTTTGACATGAAATAATTAGAAAACAGATTTCAGCAGATGACATAAACTTCATTTATAAAAAGGCATAATCTGTGAACATTCAAAGATATGCCATTTAACCCTTATCCTCAGACGCATCTTCTCGGCTTTTTCCGTCAAACTCCGGATAAGTTAGCCTTTGCCACCGTATTGAGCTCGGTTAAAGTTTTCACCCTGTTTACCCTTACGTTGAATTAATGGACAGTTTCATGAATGGATAAAAATCAATAGATTAAGGGTTAGTACCTTTGATGACCGTCAGATCATTGCCTTTAATTAAATGTTGGTATACATCATTTAGGTGAACAAACTATAATCAGATTTTAATCTTGTTGCAAAATAAGCTGACGTGTGTCAAATTGCGAAATGTCATTTTCGCTCTACAAAAAGATCTGTGTCGTGATATGATAGTTAAAGAGTAACAAACTTGTCATCAAATGTTACTACTTTTTGTTCTTAAATGGTGACTAGAGGTCTGGCACATGAAGTTTTTTATTTGGACAAATAAAAACAAAATATATGTATTAAATCATCAATCAATTAGCACTGGCCCGGGACACTGCCGGGAAGGATATTTCCATTTTGTCGCCATACGGTTGGATAAATGGTTTTGCTTTGACACTAAAACACTAGTAGTGGAAAAATAAGGGAACCAACTTGCAGTACGGGGTTGGATTTTATTAGAGATTTTACTATGCAGACATGTGTAATACATGTATATCATTTCTCTGTTTCCAGGTCAATAAATAAGCACAATGGAACAACAAAAGGATAATGTGAGATCTAACAGCTTATAACCTTAGACATGACACGTGAAACATAATGTATAGGACAATGTAATATCGTATTTTATAGCAGAGAATTCTACCAGTTGTTGAAGAGCCGTATTATTAGCTCAATAGGTAAAGCGTTGGACTGTTAATCGGGCGACACGGGTTCGATTACTAGAATAAAGGTGAAGGTCACTTTCGTTGTTACTGATCATGAAGTCTTTTCTACGGCCATTCTCTTTATATCATATATAAGGTTGACTGCACAATTCTTATACTGGTTGCAAATTTGAAAAAGTCCATAATGACCACAATATAAATGAAATCATCCAGGAAGTGCAATGAATAATGTTGTCTCAACTTTCTTGTGTATGTCCTGAAAAAAGTACGTTTTAAAATATAATTTATCCTCTGTTCAAACATTATGTCTGACTGATACGTATAAAATGAGGAACTTAAATAATCAAACCAATGACTTATAGTTTTTTAATTACCATATTATCTCTTTAAAAGATTACAAGTTTTCTTTGACAAACAATTTCCTTGTCTAGCCTCGTACTTAAACTATGATTAAATATCAACTTTTGATCATTTTTAAACAGTTTCACAAACATTTTCTTAAAGGGAACAGAAATTATTCCGCCATTTATCAAAGATTCAGAGACGTTAATTAAATTGTGCTTATAAAAGGCCGAATTTATTTTAAGTTTATCTGTGTAGGTTAAGTGGAGTCAAATTATGTTGACAAAATTTATATAAATAATTAAACTATCAACGATTTACTAAACGACTGCCCGATGACCTTTAGTAATATTTCATACAAAAATTGAAATCTGGTCAAATCCAGTTCGTGAAAGAATGTGATGGTAAGCATGTTGTTTTAAAATAATTTTTTCTTAATTGCATAAAAAGTCACCCAAAAATAGATGAATGTATCTAAAATTAGATTCAAACAAGAGGACAAACAGCGACTTATCTCGCTCACCTTAGAACGCAACTAGTTTTCTCTTACTCAGGTGAGCAGATATTTCATACTCATAAAGGCAGATATCTCTCCCTCAGATGAGCACAACAAGTCTCTTTACTATTGAATGAATCATATCTAATATAAGTAAACGGTAATGATACAGAAGTTAAAATAGTAAAAATTAATCGGGAAATTGGAACGTTTACACAAACATCATGGTATAATAGCTTCACTAAACTTCGAACTGTTTACACCAAACTAACAAATTAATTATTAACATTTACCTTGCGATATCTGACACAAATGTATTTTATGTAATAATAAATGAACATTTGTCGTGGACATTTTTGACACAAAGGCAATGATTCGATCTCCTGTCTATCAGGACGGATTTATTTATTCATTTTTATTCTTTATACAAGTCTATATACTTAATCACATGATCTTTGAGAGAGATTTGATTTAAGAAATAATATATCCCAAACTGTGATTTTATTGCTCAATAACATCACTGTTTGGAGTTCGGATGCGGGGAATTATATCACGAGGGCGTAGCCCGAGTGATATAATGATGCGCATCTGAACGACAAACAGTGATGTTAACAAGCAATAAAATCACCGATTTGGATATATTATTTCGATTCTAACACGACGTCAACAAATAAATGCTACCGTACCTGATATTTAGCTAAATTGCGCCTGATTTGTTTCCGTACTTACTGTCAGCGCGTCACATTTTTAGTGGTTACGTCATGTGTATAATGATTACGTCACATGTCTAAATATAGAACGTCAAACAGTGATTTTATAGCATAATAACACACACTTTCGGTTCTTCTATGTTCTATAGGGAAAAATGCGGATCGTGTTAGAATAGATATTTTATATATAAAATAACTAAACTCTACGTCCTCGTAGTGTTAGTCGTCGGTTTTAATGGAACCGATTTTAAACTTAAAGAGTGAATCTACGGTACTGTATAGATCTACTAAACGATGTTACACACCACAGCTAAATGTTCATTTAAGTTAACATAATAATGTTCGAATTATATTATGACTTATTGTACAGTTCCAAATTAAAATGGGGAAATACATGTAACTGGTCAATATAAGGCCATGCAGTTGCGTTGTGATTTTTTTTCTTCAAATAATATCTGCTGTGGTTTCAAATATTTAAGTATGTGTCTGTCCGGACGATTTCTAAACCTTGGTGAAATATGGGTTAAATTTCATTACAATACAATTCAGAGTAATCAAACTTCGAAAAAGGAGTTGCAATCTTATTCTATAAATATGTTTGCTGTTTCAACGAAATACTTGTACCGGTCAAAAGCATTTTCACGAAAAAGAAAAATTTGAGGTCTTTTCCGATTGAAAAGGGGCATTACTGTCAAAATACAACTGTAAGTTATCACACTTGGCAAAACTTGCCCTATGATCTTATATATATTACGTATCACACTTGGCACAAGAGCTGCCCTGTGGCCTTACATATATAGTTTCAAGGTAATTTCTACATACAGCTTCAATCCCTCACAAAGCGTGCAGCATACAAGACAAACGGCATATCACAGACAACATATCCAAAGTACCAGGAATAGAATAAATGGGTGACCTGTACTGGCCAACTCGTAAGAGCGTGGTTCTTAAGAGTCGAGTCGCAGCTGCGAAAAATTAGTCCTCTAACATCCCATATTTTTGCACATTGAAGTCCTGCGAGCAACAGAAAAGTCAGCTTTAAAAAGACTCCGCCGATGGATTACTTTACTTGACCGGTATGGGCATCGGTAGTCTCGCTTATATAGATTCGTTCCGGCAGCGAGTAACAACTTGATGGAAATTTTGTAAGAAAATCCAATCAGAAATGGACAAAACAGGGCAGGACATGGTATTACAGGAAAAGACAAAATAAAAAACTAACTGAATTGTATTATATATTTCATTTATTTATTTTTTACTTTCAAATATTTACAATAATATATCTACATATATATAAACATATCAAAATGAAAGCTATTCATAAATACATGTATAATCTCGGAAATACACGATCATTTATCTCAACAATTTTCTAATACATTCATTCTTTATATAAATTCAAGCATCGAAATACACGTTCACTATCATACAAACATTTTAACTGTCTAACCTTATTAAATTTGTTTTGAAAATTTTACACAATGACGTTTACATGATGTGTACAATATATGTACAAAATATAAATATTGAAAACAACAACAAGGATAAAATTGACTATTTTAAACAAATCTAGAATTCAAGAGAATTACAACTGTACAGTGATAAGCTTTTGTCCATCTGATCTGCTGTAATGCAACAACATACACTAAGATCCACTTAAGACGAGATCGCTTATAACAATATACCGCTTATAACAATATATGATGTTGCCGTGGTCCGGACTACTTGCCTATCGTAAATGACGATATCCCGATATTACAATATAACTTTGGCAGTCCCCTAAATATCGTTATAAGTGGATTTTACTGTATTTAATTCTGGAACTTGTTTTTTAGAACGAATATGAATTGTGTTGAAAAGCATAAACATTAACCAGTGCATGTACACGTAGAACGCATTCTTACAGGTCATATACATGTACTCTACCATTCTTACACAAAATGCATGTGGTACAAATGTTCTGAAGATATTTCTTGTTCAAAATATATTCGTCATAAAAAAAACCTATACTTTTTCTGTTGTTATTTTCTTTCACTTTTTGCAAGCAACAGCAAGTTTTCATTATTTCAGTTGAAGTGATGTTTCAGCATATTATATAGAAAATATCTTATTGGTTGCATGTATATCAAGTATATACATGTAGTTCACATCAATGGCAATGGTGAACAAACTGCTTAAAGTTTTTGGTTTTAAAGGAGCTCAACTGAGGTATAAAAGCAAAGCGAGAAAATGATCTAAAATTTTGCACAAAAGTTATTGGTATACAATATAGAGCCTCACAGTGAAGACTGGGCATGCCCAACTATGTTGCCTCTTTAAATAAAGTCTATAACAATAATACAATATAAATCCTCAACATGCTGAATTTATTAAATGGACATGTCCAGCTTCTAGATCTGGAACAGTACATTATCACGTAGGGAGGTATCAAGATGAAAATATAAAGTAAGTCAGCAGTATAGAGCATAGATAGGTTGGCCTGGCTCTATACTGGTGGCAAAGACTAAACACTTTTAGTTCCAGCAGGTTACAGGTTATTAAAACAGTCTTTAAACACAAACACAATGTATGCAACAATCATCATATTTATAATAAATGACTTTGATTTAAAGGCTTTAACAAAATTCATTGAAGAACATGTAAAATTGTGGATAACAATAACAAAATTGGAGTTAAACAACTTACAAAACATGGGCAATAGGAGTCGTTTTTAATTTACTGAAGAAACTTTCCTGCTAACAATGACAAGTTCTTAGGATATATGAGTACATGTAGATAATGGATGGGGAAAATTCAAGACATTAAAACTTATGTTCAAAGTTCATACAATAACTGCAAAAACTTTATGCCTTATTTAGAAGACATTTTTTAATCCCTTTGGGTCCATACTAAAATAATTCTATAACTAATGAAACATATGAATGATATTTGACTAAGCTGATTTTGTAGAAACTTCTAGTTCATGCATGGAGTCTTTGTCCTGGTTTTAAAATAAAAGGAATAAACTAGTTAATATCTTAAATCTTAAACTACAGTCACCAAATCTAAATAACTGTCTTCAAATCATGATCATTTGCCACATAGTACTTAAAACAAGCTATTTTGTTTTTTAAAGTTGATTTTAAATTGCTTCTGTTTGCACACATCACTAAATTTCTGCCATGTACATATCTTTCATTGTTATGTAGTCAAAAAGTCATTAAAATGGCCGAGCCAATGTAGATAGTACTGTATGAGGAATCCTAAGGTCAGGTTAAGAACTGTTTGCAGCCACAGTAAGGCTCATTTTGCCATTCGTCATTTTATCCCATTGCTGTTAATTTGACTGGAATAATTTCAATTCGGCTCAATGATTTCCTGTCCATGTTTTGCTATTTTTATATCATTTTGTATAAAATAAGAAAATCCTATAAATTTGGCTTACAGAAATTATCAACCAGGGTAAGGCCCTGAGAAGTCAATATCAAACAATTTACAGTTATACTACATTGTGCTCATTCACTGACATTCAAATCTGTAACACTTTCAGTTTTGCTTTTTCAGTATTTACTGACATTCAAATATGTAACACTTAGCTTTGCTTTTCCAATATTCAACTTTCCAAACTTAACTTCAAACTATTAAGAGACATTTTTATTTCACAAATGACTTCATTCTCACTACTGATTGACCCATTTCCGCTGAATGTACGTCTTTTTTTTGTAAATGTTTGTATACATGAGTACTCAGTCAGGTTTGTGGCCATGATCATTTTGAAGCTATGATAATTCAAGAAGCCACATATATTGAATACACAACTTCTCTAAATATCTATGCTTGAGAGATGATATTTTACATTGCCATTTCTTAATGTTGAAGTAAGCGGCACAATGAATAACTGAAGGGGCCCCTAGATTAAATGAACACTTGTCAAGGATTTTTTGGGAGGCTATTTTATAGCCTGTTTGTTAACTATATCACTTTCTAATTCGCTTTTACATCCTTTTGTGGCTCAGGTATGCCATTAGGTACAATGTCTCCATTTGCATGTTTTTTCCTGAGGTCAAACACTTCTTGTATACCTTGTCTAAAACACCAGAAGTTGTAGTCTATCAAACCTGTAATAAATAACCTAAAATTTACAAACTTATCTACGACAATGACTGTACATTATAGCATACAGACAGACAAACATTCTATCATAAAGACAGACCACAGACATAGAGGATATTGCATTCGTGTAGGTTTAATACTAAATTAATTGAACAAGTTGAATAAAATCTTATTATGCCAGCCTCTGGAGAGCATAATATTGTTTTATTCAATGAGTTCAATTAATTTAGTATTGAATATGCACGAAGATAATCTTCTATTTATCACATAGCTAAAATAAGAATGGTAAACTTTTAAAAAATAGTTTAATTGATGCGCCTATATTTTAACGCTATCATTCGCGCGCCTTAAAGCTGTGCCTGTATATAACGCAAATGATGTCACTTATAAGTGTTATTACACTAGTGTAATATGGTTTTATTAAATGGCTTTACTACACTCCTGCGCCACGGTTTATGTGATATAGACCTATATTCTAGCATACAGACAGACCAACATTTTAGCATACAGACAGACCAACATTTTAGCATACAGACAGACCCACAATCTAGCATACAGACAGACCCAAATTCTAGTACCCGCGTTCAAGTGTACAAACAAACCCACAATCTAGCAAACAGACAGACCCACATTCTAGTATACAGACAGACCCACAATCTAGCAAACAGACAGACCCACATTCTAGTATACAGACAGACCCACAATCTAGCAACAGACAGATCCACATTCTAGTATACAGACAGACCCACAATCTAGCAAACAGACAGACCCACATTCTAGTATACAGACAGACCCACAATCTAGCAAAACAGACAGACCCACATTCTAGTATACAGACAGACCCACAATCTAGCAAACAGACAGACCCACATTCTAGTATACAGACAGACCCACAATCTAGCAGAACAGACCCACATTCTAGTTTACAGACAGACCCACAATCTAGCAAACAGACAGACCCACAATCTAGCAAACAGACAGACCCACAATCTAGCAAACAGACAGACCCACATTCTAGTATACAGACAGACCTGCGTTCAAGTGTACAAACAGACCCACAATCTAGCTTGCATACAGACAGACCCACATTCAAGTATACAGACAGACCCACATTCAAGCTTGCATACAGACAGACCCACATTCTGGCATACAGATGTTTACACATAGCTTCATGCCTAAAAGGCTATAACAACCTCTCATAAATAATATCAGTTCAGTATTTCATTATTTTTTACCATTTAGAAAACTAAGGATCATTCTTTTCAAGTTACATCAAAATCTGCACAACAACTCAGTAAAAGATGTCACTTAAAGCTTATTTCTATTTTAAGCCTTGGTAGCCACCATCTTGTTAAGCAATTTTAGCTTTATCATGTACCAACCAAGGATTTTACAATAAAAGCAATTTGCTCTGTTGATAGTGAAAAAGATACAAGGTCTCATTCTGACATATTTTGTCATAGTTTTATCACATTTGATCTAATTTTTTTACCTCTAATTTAAAAGAACTTTCAAGTATGTAACTCACCTTTATAAGTTTGTGCTCACAGTAACAATTAAAAGAATCTTATACTTGCTTTCAGTACAGACATGGATATCTAGCTAGAAAGTAACTGTTTACATCAGTAATGAGGCTCTGCTGAGGTTCCCACTAACAGTTTCCTTGCGAGCTAGATATTCCAGTCTGTGTTTTCATTCTTTTTTCTTGTATATTTCATATAATTCAGTTCGAAAAGAAGTAACGAAAAAATTATCAATTAGCACTTTTTTCTTATAGCAGTGAATGAATTTACAACTTTATGTTACAACAGCAAAATGATGTCATCCTAAGCACCCAATTCATTCATAAAATTGTGCGAGAAAAATATCAGGGCTTGATTTCTTTTACACCTGTCCGATATGCAAGAAAAAGGATACAATTTGGCAGAACTTACCCTGTTTTTTGAAGCTGTCCTCTCTTAATATACAAACAAGTGCCAAATATTTGGTGACCTCTCGAAGATACATTACTGTACCATTGTTCAACTTGATGACTGATGAACTCTCAGTATTAAAGGCACTCTCTTCCTTTGACCTGAAAAAAAAAGAATTTTTACCATGTACAAAAACTGATGGCATATTCAATTTTAACGGATAAACATGATGTTTATAAAAACTACCATGTATATACAACGCTGCTGTCAATTTATTAAGTTATTTTATATTTTTTCTCAAATAAAGTAAGTTTGCTGTATTACAAATTTTCAGTTATAACATTGTGAACAAAGGAAAATAATTTGCACACTGCAAACAGCACTTTCAGTCCATGTAAAATACAAATGGAGAAAAATGGAAAAATAGCCCTTACTGCATTAGTCACCCAGTAGAAATATGCTGACAAATACTTCAAAATCAGTCGTTCATTGCATATAACATGTAAATAACTAACTACTTGAATTGTGAATACTTTTACTTTTCTAAAAATCTTAGTATATTCTTATTCACAAAATTAAATTTCATTAAATTATTTGGCTCATCTGGAGGCATGTAGCTTTAAGTTTTAAATAGTCTGTTCTAGACTGAAGATTTAGAAGATTCATATTAAAAAAGATCAGCAGGTAATAAGTTAAACATTCATGAAGACTAAACTCTGGACTAAGTACAAACTGAGTTGAACATTCATGAAGACTAAACTCTGGACTAAGTACAAACTGAGTTAAACATTCATGAAGACTAAACTCTGGACTAAGTACAAACTGAGTTAAACATTCATGAAGACTAAACTCTGGACTAAGTACAAACTGAGTTAAACATTCAGGAAGACTAAACTCTGGACTAAGTACAAACTGAGTTAAACATTCATGAAGACTAAACTCTGGACTAAGTACAAACATTTTATGGCTACATTTTGTATCTCCATGATTGTTTGTTTTGCTTTGTTTTGGTATTACAACATAATAGCAACACAATTCAGGTCATATGGTGCTGAAACAGGGAAGATAATTTTGGCTAAGTATCTCTATGAAATCTTAAAAATTTACACAACTATTAAATATTGATTATTTTCTTACCTATCAGGGAATGACGAATCCCCATCCTCACTGTAAAAAAAAGAAGAAAAATGAACCAATAAAAATCTTACAACACTGAATAGTTTTTAAAACATTAGAAACAACAAAATAATGATTAAAAACAGACAGTTATCTTTGTTTCCTGGGTGAAAAAATGAATCCTGAAACCTTTTTTTAGGATATGGTATATAATCAAATACAATGTATATATAGAAATTTAAAATAACAAATTGTATTTTGTTTCATATTCCTTAGTGGGCATAAACTATCAATTTACAATAAAATATAAAGTTATAAATAAAAATTTTCATTTTTGAAATACCAGTAAGTTAGTTTTTCTTCTATATGCCTGACTAATTTTAACTGTACTTTAACTGAATTTTGTGTAAGTTTTACATGTTATATACCAGTAAATAACAGAGATTTAAATGTGCAAATATCAGGTGCATAAAAAATTCTGTTAGAAGTAATGTGGAAGATTTTGTTACCCAAGTACAAATGTAAGAGGAAATGTATGCACCAGGTTTTCTTAAATTGAATTGCAACAGAGCTATTTACTGACTGAAAAGTTCTTCATAAAACCAAATAAAAAGTTTTGTATTGTATTATCATACAGAAGATAAGTTACATTGTGTGTACCTGTAAAAGATTGAAACATGAATAGCTCTCTAACATGGGAGTTTGAAATCTATTATATACAAAAATAATGGCTCATAATCATATGGAGTAGAATTTAAAACAGTTAATTAACAATAGCATAACATAGTCTAGGAAATGATAGGCTTAAGATTTCAGTTTTGAGTTACATTTTTTTTCTTAATTCAAGTTTTGAAATTTAAGTACTAGACTTCAAGGAACAGGGTACATTTAAAATTTAGGATTTTAAGAAATATCAGTTTTAAATAAACATGCTATTATATTGTTTTAAAGGCAAATTATGCCTAAGAAATGAAGACATTTTTCTTTCTTTAGAAAGGGCAAACATACTATTATATAGACTGTTCATCTAACTAAATGAAAATATAAATATAAATTGAGTAAATCAAGAGAATTAAAATTTTGAAAAATTGAAGAAAAAGTGTGAGCACTGTGTATAAACTGAAGTCGGAAGTGTTTTTGCCGAGAATTTCAAACCTAGATGACTCGTCGCTATGGAAACTGATAGGACTTATAGAGAAGTTTGCATGTGGTTGTGACGCAGTTAACAGGCTCATTCCACCTAGTTCTGATGTAGCTGTTTCTTCACTTTAAAGAAAACTTCAAATTTTAAGGTGATTTTTTAAAAAAAGGATTTTTCCCCCTCAATTATTTATGTAAAATTACAGTCATACCATTAAAAACTTATGTTGATTTGTGACTTTTCAAGCTTTTTAAGAAGTAGAGAGCAAATGGAAGCCTCTTTAATAACAAGATCAAAAAAAGATTTACTGTTTAACCTTTTGTATATTTACTTGGAATATATTATTGGTTCTACATGTTGCTGATGGGATATACGTGAGAATATCGCCTGAACGAGATCAAAATTAACCGAGACGCTAGCCAAGGGCTATATTTATGTCAGCAAGGCTATATCAAAACATCAAACACTTTGACAATAAAAAGCCGTGAAAAATAAAATGCATTCATCATAAATATTCATTATTTTAATCCAACAGGCATGTTCTCAAAGAAATCAACATACCGGTATTCAAAAATTTAAATACATAAATCATTTGGTTGGGATTAAAGTTACTGTAAAGGTCATATGTAGAGACTTAATACTGCACTATATGGCCACCGTTCCACCAATATAGAATTTTCAAATATGAATATGATTGAAAATGATTATGAAATTTTAAACATAAAGAAATTATACAGGTTTCATACAATTGTAAAAATAATTATGGAATTTCATATAATTATGAGAATAAATTAAGAATGAAATCTTACCAATAACCCAATGTTTCAAGTTTCATACAATCTTGAGATCTTACACATTATTTTGTTTTCAGTTTCATATAATTATAAAGTCTTCCCTAAATTTACAAGTTTCATAATATAATAAAATCTTTTTACCTATAAATTAATAATACCAATAAATCTATTTTACAAGTTTCATATAATAATGAAATCTTAACAATAAATCAATTTTACATGTTTCATATTATTAAGAAATCATACACATGAAATATTTTTAAAAGTTTCATATAATAAATACAAGTTTCATTTTACCCATAAATTAATTTTACAAATTTCATATAATACAAGTTTCATATAAATAAGAAATTTTACCCATTAACTAATTTTACAAATTTCTTATAATTAATACAAATTTAATATAAATAAGAAATGTTATCCATAAATTAATTTAACAAGTTTCATAATTAATACATGTTTCATATACATACAATTAAGAAATCTTATTCTTAAAAATTTCATATAATTAAGAAATCTAATTTATGAAAGAATTTTTTCAAGTTTCATATAATTAATATAAGTTTCATACAATTAAAAACTCTTAACACATAAAACAATATTACAAGTTTCATATAATAAATACAGGCATTATATAATTAAGAAATTTTAATCCATAATTTAATATTACAAGTTTCATATAATAAATACAAGTTTCATATAATCAAGAAATCTTACCCATATATCATTGAGATGTCGAGTACAACATCTATCATATCACAGCATAACTCGTAGGATTGCATGTCTACAGGTGAACTATCTGTAGCAATATATACTTTACTGACCACATCAAACAAAAACGCTTTCTCAATCCCTGAATTCTGTTTAATGATAATAAAAAAAAAATCTTTATTAATATATGAAAAACTGCATTGATTCATTTTAGCTACAGAAATATACATTTTAAATGAATGTAAGAAAGAAAGAGTGACTGAGTTAAAACATTTAAGTACTGTTAATAAAGATATTAAGCATCTGACCAACTTTCTGGCGGCAACTAATTCTACGGATACAGCTGGTGCTGACCTAGACCAGCAGTCATATCAATGCCATTTTATCATGATCTGCAGTGATCACTATTCAGTTAGTACTACTATGATTTTACATTGCATCAACATAGTACAGGTCATATGGTAGCTTTACTGGTGTAGGATGATAAATGAAGACAGAGTGCATTATTTCTGGCACTAACAGGCACCTGAGTAGAACCACCGACGATTCGCAAGCCAACTGGACAGCTTCCTCTCATGAAAGAATACAAAGTGACTGTCAGGATTCGAACCGACAGTGGTTAATGAGCAATGATGTACATACTGAAATGAAGATGTCTAGCAGGTTTTCTAGTGTTGGCAACTGTGGAATTAACTTCTGTATGACTTTACTAAATGCCTCAAATATAGAGTGGTCATATATACTCGTTAAATAGAAGCTGGAAAGAAGAAAAACAACAGTGTAATGTTAGTAATTGATACTTGATAATATAATTTTATAGATAAACATAATGATATTGGTGAATATATAAATTTTGAACTTAACACCTGGATTGTCTTCCAAACATACCAATGCACAGGAGTCTGTATGTAAAATTGGCACACAGCCAAACACTTTCTTAGTTTCTACAATGTACCTAATGCAACTTATCTAATTGTTAAATAAAAAAGGAACGTTGGTCTTTATAAGTAGAGGATATTGAATGAGTTTGTGTTTGATACTTTCTTTATTGAACTCGGATAAAGTCATATTTAAATTCATTATTGCATCTACAAGACTATAACACTCTTTTTATCACAAATTCAAAATAAGAATGGTTAACAGTTAAAAAAAAAGAGTCATTTTCCACTGATGCTTCTTAAGTGTAACGAGAACAGTACTGCACTTTGTATATAACGTAAATGTTATTACACTGGTGTAATATGGTTTTTATTAAATGGCTTTACTACACTCCTGCACCATGTTTTATGTCATAATATAAAATAACACATCTCCTTGGGTAATAGTGTATGTTAGCAACCCAAGAACTGAAATAACCACTCCAGGTGTTATTTAAGTTCAAGGGTTGCTAATATGCACTATTACTCTGTGTTGTTTGTTTGTTGTTGTTTTTATGCCACCGCAGCATCTGCGATGCGGTGGCATATAGCGATTCACCTGTGTGTGTGTGTGTGTGTTTGTTTGTGTGTGTGTGTGTGTGTTATATAGATTATATAGTGAACTTAAAAAATCTTCTTGTGAAAAACCACCAGTCCAATTTCAACCAAACTTGGCAGGATTGATCCTTGGGTGAAGGGCTTCCAAAGTTGTTCAAAGAATTTAATTCCATGCAGAAATCTGGTTGCCATGGCAACCAAAAGGAATTATAAGAATAAATTTAAAAAATCTTCTTGTAAAGACCCAAAAGGCCTAGAGCTTAGATATTTTGCATAAGGCATTGTCTGGTAGACCTCTACCAAGATTGTTCAAATTATAGCCCTGGGGTCAAAATTGGCCCCGCCCCGGGGGTCATTGATTTTCACTATATATACATATAGTAAAAACTTAAAATACCTTCTTGTAAAGACCCAAAAGGCCTAGAGCTTAGATATTTTGCATAAGGCATTGTCTGGTAGACCCTTACCAAGATTGTTCAAATTATAGCCCTTGGGTCAAAATCGGCCCTGCCCCGGGGGTCATTGGTTTTTTACTTTATATGTACATATAATACCTTCTTGTAAAGACCCAAAAGGCCTAGAGCTTAGATATTTTGCATAAGGCATTGTCTGGAACACCTCTACCAAGATTGATCAAATATATATAGCCCTGGGGCAAAAATCGGCCCCGCCCCGGGGGTCATTGGTTTTCACTATATATGTACATATAGTAAAAACTTAAAATACCTTCTTGTAAAGACCCAAAAGGCCTAGAGCTTAGATATTTTGCATAAGGCATTGTCTGGAACACCTCTACCAAGATTGATAAAATTATAGCCCTGGGGCCAAAATCGGCCCCGCCCCGGGGGTCATTGGTTTTCCTTATATGTATATAGTAAAAACTAAAAAAAAAATTCTTGTAGCAATTGACAAATGCTAGAGGTTTGATATTTTGCATGAAAAATTGATTTTCAATATTTACATATAGTAAAAAATCTAATTGTCTGAAGGTACAAGGCTTAGAGCTTTAATATTTGTTTAATGATAACATCTATAGGTACTCTACCAAAGTTGTTCAAATTTTGCCTCTAGTGTCAAAATTAGCCCAGCTGCCCCAGAGGCGATAGTTTTCCTTATATGTAGTAAAAACTTAAAAAATCATCTTCTCTAAATTTACAAAGGCTAAAGTTAAGATATTTTGAATGAAACATTATGTAGTGAACCTCTAGCAATATTGTTCAAATTATAGCCCTGGGGTCAAAATTGGCCCCACCCCCAGGGTTCATTGATTTTCAGTATGTACATATAGTAAAAAATTAAAAAATCTTATTGTCTGAAGGTACAAGGCTTAGAGCTTTGATATTTGGTATATAATATCATCTATGGGTCCTCTACTAAAGTTGTTTTTATTATGCCCCTAGTGTTAAATTTGCCCAGCTGCCCCAGAGGCGATAGTTTTCCTTATATGTATAAAGTAAAGACTTGAACAAGAACCGGTTGAACCGGGTGATGCTCCCCGAGAAGGTTCTGGACACAGGAAAGTATAAAAAAAATGAACAAAGGGCAATAACTCCAAAATTAGACCAGGCTTTGTTTAGGTTCTTGAAGCGTTGCAGTTCTATCCAATTACATCTAGCTACCTACAAAGTTTCATGTTGATACCTCTAATAGTTTTAAAGTAATGTCCAGGACAAAAGTCAAAAAGTAAAAATAAAAAAAGGGCAATTACTTCAAAATAAGGCAAGGCAGAGTAATGATTCTTAAGCACTGCACTTCCACCCAATGAGACCTATCTATCTACAAAGTTTCATGTTAATATCTCTTATAATTTTAGAGTAATGTCCCAGACAAAGTTCAAAGTGTCAAAATGAACAAAGGGCAATAACTCCAAAAGTAGGCAAGACAGTGTTACAGTTCTTGTGCACTGCAAACTTACTCAATGAGATCTATCTACCTACAAAGTTTCATGTTGATATCTCTTACACATTAAGAAATATGTCCCAGACAAAGTTCAAAGTGTAAAAATAAACAAAGGGGGATAATTCAAAAATTAGGCAAGGCAGAGTTAAGGTTCTTGTTCACTGCACACCTACTCAATGAGATCTATCTACCTACAAAGTTTCATGTTGATACCTCTTATACTTTTAGAGTTATGTCCTGGACAAAGTTCAAAGTGTAAAATAAACAAAGGGGGATAATTCAAAAATTAGACAAGGCAGAGTTACGGTTCTTGTGCACTGCACACCTACTCAATGAGATCTATCTACCTACAAAGTTTCATGTTGATACCTCTTATACTTTTAGAGTTATGTCCCGGACAAATTTCAAAGTGTAAAATAAACAAAGGGGGATAATTCAAAAATTAGGCAAGGCAGAGTTACGGTTCTTGTGCACTGCACACCTACTCAATGAGATCTATCTACCTACAAAGTTTCATGTTGATACCTCTTATACTTTTAGAGTTATGTCCCGGACAAAGTTCAAAGTGTAAAATAAACAAAGGGGGATAATTCAAAAATTAGGCAAGGCAGAGTTACGGTTCTTGTGCACTGCACTTCTACTCAATGAGATCTATCTACCTAAAAAAGTTTCATGTTGATATTTATTATAGTTTCAGAGTTATGTCCCGGCTAAACTTCAAATTGTAAAATGAACACAGGGCAGTAACTCCAAAATTAAGAGAGACAGAGTTAAGGTTCTTTTGTACTGCACTTCTACTCAATGATCTACCAACAAAGTTTCATGTTGATACCTCTTATACTTTTAGAGTTATGTCCCGGACAAAGTTCAAAGTGTAAAATAAACAAAGGGGAATAATTCAAAAATTAGGCAAGGCAGAGTTACGGTTCTTGTGCACTGCACTTCTACTCAATGAGATCTATCTACCTACAAAGTTTCATGTTGATACCTCTTATACTTTTAGAGTTATGTCCCGGACAAAGTTCAAAGTGTAAAAATAAACAAAGGGGAATAATTCAAAAATTAGGCAAGGCAGAGTTACGGTTCTTGTGCACTGCACACCTACTTAATGAGATCTATCTACCTACAAAGTTTCATGTTGATACCTCTTGTTGTTTCAAAGTTATGTCCCGGACAAGAAAAGGGGACGGACGGACGGACGGACGGACGGACGGACGGCCGGACGGACGGACGGACAAGGCGGCGACTATATGCTCCCCCGAAATTTTTTCGGGGAGCATAAAAATCTTCTTCTCTGAATTGAAAAATCTTCTTCTCTAAATTGACAAAGGCTAGAGGTTAAATATATGGCATGAGACTTTGCGAAGTGAACCTTTACCAAGATTGTTCAAATTATAGCCCTGGGGTCAAAATTGGTTCCGCCCAGGGGGTCATTGATTTTCATTATGTACATATAGTAAAAAAATAAAAAATATTTTTGCCTGAAGGTACAAAGCATACAGCTTTGATGTTTGCTATATAATATCATCTAAAGGTCCTATTCCAAAGTTGTTCAAATTTTCCCCTGGTTTCAAAATTGGCCCTGCCCGGGTCAGTGATTATGTACACATAGTAAAAATAAAACAAATGTTTTCTGAATGGGAGAAAGCTACAGCTTAGATATTTGACTTGAAATGTTATTTGGTGGACCTGTATCAAGATTGGTTTGAATTAAACCCTTGGGTCCAAAATTTTGCCTTGCCCAAGGGGACAGTGACCTACTTTCTTGTCCTTTAATGTACAGCAATGAAATTTTGACCATGTGCACAGTTTTAGTTGTAAAATTGAACTGTGATATCAGGTGACCTAGATTTTGATGATGTGACCTACTTTCTTGTCATTTGATGTACAGCTTTGAAATTTGAACCATGTGCACAGATTAAGATTTAAAGTGAACTTTGATTTCAGCTGACCTAGATTTTGACAAAGTGTCTTACTGTGTTGTCCTTTGGTGTAGTCATGAAATTTAGGCTGTGTGAAATATGACCTTCGCCACCAAATTCACTAGACTAGAGTGCATTGATATATTCCTACTCTGAACTTTTATTGAGTTAACAACAGATTTAACCACTAATCTGATAATAAGAATTAGATAGGTTAGGGATCTATGCATTATGACAATCTTGAAAATTGTATAGAAACAAAAAAAATCTGTTCCTACACTACTATTTAGTGTTGTATTAATGAGGTGGCATAGCATTTTTCACAAATGCAATCTTGTTTAATTTTACAGAATCAGCATTTTAATGTAATTTTTCACAGGTATGGATTATTACTCCATCAATGAGTTTTAACAGGGGAGGAAACTAGAACATTATGTTTTCTTAACTCTATATAGATAACTTGCCCCTGGTGAATTTTCAAAACAATTATTGTCCAGGGGAAAGTCATTTCCAGAATAATAGATAGAAATAACACCATGTGACTTGACATCAGGCTATTGAGTGTAAAGTTCATGCGAGGTATAATAACATCATAATATCACATGTTATATTGATCAGTAATATTATTTCAAATATAAGAATTAAATGAGGTGAAAAAAGCAGATATGAGCCTAGATATGTGACATCAATATAGTGTCAGGCTAGCTGAAATAGCTGCACAATTTTATCACAATAGAACATAAAAAAAAAATCCTCAAATTATGGCATTTCATGACAGATTATATAAAATTCCTATATTTTATTATATGTTTTCAATCACTATTGTGTATAACATTAATGACTCTCTACACTGACATAAGAAGAGCTGTTCAATAAGACAGCCTGCTTGACAAATCTCAGTGCTGGAGACTAAAACAAGAGCCTGGATAATGTAGAATTTTCTATGTTAAAAAGGGCCTTCTCCTGTCAAAATCCACATGAGTTATGGGCCTTGAACATTGACCTCCTTCTATTACTCTCTAAAATAAGAGTGTGAAGTTTCAATCCACTGCCTTCAGTAGTTCTAGAGATACCAACTTGCACGCAAAAACTTAACCAAAGTGTGACACCAATGCCTGGGTGAGTACAATAATTCTCCTTATTCTATGAGAAGTAGAGACTTATCAATTTTAGACTCTGAGCATAGCTAGTCCCATGCATATCCTGATTTCAGAAGTTAAACAGCAGTAACATATAGGCAGTCACCATGAGAAAACCAACATAATGCAGAATATGACTTTACCAAGAAATATCAATTTAACATGTACTTGTTATGATATTTATATTGACAATTATCAGAATGTGTTGGCGATTTAGTATACACATGTATATATTATGAACAAACCTTAAATGTAAGTTTTCTAATCCAGCATCGACGAGATCATCTGTCGCACGTTGATGTATGTCCCGCTGAGTCTCTATCTTATGATCATCTGACAGACCATCTACTTTATGGATAAACACTTCGAATTTTATTTTTGGATTTATTTTGTATGCTCGAGACACCGTGAAATGAAGCTTTGCTAAAGCATCCATATAATCATCCTGTAATATAAAAGTAATTATCTCCCTTGACTCTTACCTCCTGCTAAATATCTTAAATGGACTTGTCCATCTTTACAACTGAACATAATTACATCTGGTCATAATTACATCTGAACATAATTACATCTGGTCATAATTACATCTGAACATAATTACATCTGGTCATAATTACATCTGGTCATAATTACATCTGGTCATAATTTCATCTGGTCATAATTACATCTGGTCATAATTACATCTGAACATAATTACATCTGGTCATAATTACATCTGGTCATAATTACATCTGAACATAATTACATCTGGTCATAATTACATCTGGTCATAATTACATCTGGTCATAATTACATCTGGTCATAATTACATCTGGTCATAATTACATCTGAACATAATTACATCTGAACATAATTACGTCATAATTACATCTGGTCATAATTACATCTGAACATAATTACATCTGAACATAATTACATCTGAACGTATTACATCTGGTCATAATTACATCTGAACATAATTACATCTGGTCATAATTACATCTGAACATAACTACATCTGGTCATAATTACATCTGGTCATAATTACATCTGAACATAATTTCATCTGGTCATAATTACATCTGGTCATAATTACATCTAAGCATAATTACATCTGGTCATAATTACATCTGGTCATAATTACATCTGGTCATAATTACATCTGGTCATAATTACATCTGAACATAATTACATCTGGTCATAATTACATCTGGTCATAATTACATCTGAACATAATTACATCTGGTCATAATTACATCTGGTCATAATTACATCTGGTCATAATTACATCTGGTCATAATTACATCTGGTCATAATTACATCTGGTCATAATTACATCTGGTCATAATTACATCTGAACATAATTACATCTGGTCATAATTACATCTGGTCATAATTACATCTGGTCATAATTACATCTGAACATAACCATTCATTATTTTTAGGAAAAAATTTCAAAATATAAACTGACTGAGTAGCGAACAGTGCAGACCATGATCAGATAGCACAGATGTGACGGCTGATCTTGGTCTGCACTGGAAGGAAGGGTAGAATCAGTTGCCACCAAATGGGTATAGGTTAACCTGCTGGTACCACGAGTGAACTTTGCGACCAGTATACAGCCAGGCCCTCCTGCACTACCAGGCTATATACTGTACGCTATACAGCCAGGCCCTCCTGCACTACCAGGCTATATACTGTACGCTATTTTTCATACAATTACAATAGATTTTCATGTTGATATCCCTAAAATTTGAATGATAAGTCCATTTGAGAATTTTAGCAAGTTAAGGGTTAACAATTTGCTTTATTACTATAGATGCCAGTCATAAACTTGTGGTAGAGAGTAGCTCAACTTTATACCATTGCTTCTCGAAATATTATGCTGTTCACAAATAAAATGGTACCTCACACAGTAACATTTCCTTACATCAATCTCACTTGTCTAAAAATTATTTCTGTATAACTCAATTCCATTCTTAGAATGTTTTATAGAATGAATGAGACAAGGACTGATCCCCTGACCTCCTTAACATGATACAAACACTAAAACTGGAATGCTCTTGTACATTTTTCCATCATACATCAATACATGACAGTTGTGTTGATTATTGAAAAAAAAAAAAACGACTGAAAATTATTACAAATACATATAAAATGTATACAAAAGCAGTAAACTAAATAATTGCACACTTCTAACAATTTCCTGCCATATTTTTTGGGATTTGACCTTAAAGTATGGAAAAATATGTGAAGTTTTTTTATATTAACTGAAGATTACAATCTTAGCATGAAAGCCAGAGTGTCCAATAAGCTTTAAATTTCTATCTCTAGTAAACTGATAGATAAAGTGCAAAATACAGATTCTTCTCCTGACATATATTTGTACAACAAAACTGTTACCCACCTGTGAATCTATGACAAAAATAAGTGCACCACAGCCTCCAAATATATGTTCAGAATCAAATGTTGAGTCAAAATAGTCTAAATGACCTGGCAGATCCCAGATTTGAAATACCACAAATGAGCAATTTGTTACATCTGAAAGAAAATACAAAGACCCACTAATATTAAATGTAATTAAAATGTACTCTGACAAAACTACATAAAATCTTGTCTCATTTTTCTCTAACATAACTATAAATAAAATCACCAGACACTAGATTATATCTCATTTCCCTCACAAAAAAAATCCTCTAAAGCTTTGATGTGTCTCGTCCTCAAAACATGTACATAAAATCCCCTGACCTTTGATATGTCTAATTATTCTGACAAATCTACATAAAATCCCCTGATTTTTAATATTTCTAATTTATTCTGACAAATCTACATAAAATCCCCTGATCTTTGATATTTCTAATTTATTCTGACAAAACTGCATAAAACCCCCTGATCTTTAATTTGTCTAATTATTCTTACAAATCTACATAAAATCCCCTGATCTTTACTATTTCTAATTTATTCTGACAAATCTACATAAAATCCCCTGATCTTTAATATTTCTCATTTATTCTGACAAAACTGCATAAAACCTCCTGTTCTTTAATATGTATAATTATTCTGACAAATCTACATAAGATCCCATGATCTTTAATATTTCTAATTTATTCTGACAAAACTGCATAAAACCCCTGATCTTTAATTTGTCTAATTATTCTGACAAATCTACATAAAATCCCCTGATCTTTAATATGTATAATTATTCTGATAAATCTACATAAAATCCCATGATCTTTAATATTTCTCATTTATTCTGACAAATCTGCATAAAATCACCTGATCTTTAATATTTCTAATTTATTCTGACAAAACTGCATAAAACCAATGATCATTGATATGTCTAATTTATTGTGAAATAACTACATTAAATCCCATCATATCAAATGATGTTTCATTTTCCCTGACAAATCTAATGCTTAGCCAGGTGATGTCTACAATCAAAGGTCACTGCATTAATATTAATGTCTACAGAAATAATCAAAACAAAATCCATAGAATCACTATCATATAATTATCTAAAACAATTTTTCTTCATTTACTTTCTAAACAGACTTCTACAATAGTCCATATTTTCTTACAAATAAAAGAAATGAATTTATTCCCAATTTGTCTCACCTTCTTTGACAACTTTATTTGTACTTTCAAGGAATAGGGTCTCATTTGGTGACACTTTATGAAAAACTACTTTCTGTATAGATGATTTACCACTCCTATAAAACAACAAACATGATTAATGCAAAACTTGAGTAAACAGATTTCCCCTGCTTAGAATTTGTAACAGTTCATTTAAAGTTTAAAAGATTTCAATAATAAAAGACAAAAATTTAACTACCAAAAGTATAGACGACTCAGGCTTGTCTGGGCTGTGGCTCTGTATATGTTGTAAAAGATAACAAATATTCTGACAGTTCCAAAATGTTGAAACTTAACACAACCCACAAAAGTTACACACATCGACATCTTTCATTTGAATTAGTTTGTTGTTTAGTTTAAACATATTTTATTGCATTTAATACATGTTTACAAATATATCATACAAATAATGAGTATATATCAAAATGCAAATAGGTTGTTGAACATCCATTGTTTTAAAAAAACATTTCTCAAGGATAACAAACATATTCTTAACAATGTATTGATAATACTACTGTCTTGTTTTCAGATACATGTATTTTATACCTTCTAAGGCCCATCAGTAATATTCTAGGTTTGTGCTCAGGTGTAGCTCCTCCACTATCTCCCTCTCCATCTTCAGGCCCGTAGTTGAAGTCACGTGGAAACGAGACACTGTACTGACCCATATCATCTGGCTCGTAAGACTGGAAAAACACAAACATGTATCACTGATCTCATTATCTGGCCTATTTAAACAACCCGGTGAAGTAAATTGACATAGGGGAAAATGTAGCCTCATTCCTGAACCCAAAAAGGAAATTTCCCTGAAACAGTTTGATTCTTTTTAATGAACAAAAAAAAGAGACAATGGGTTTTAAATTTTATGGATAATCCCTTGTTTAGAAAACAAATATCTCATAAATGACTTAATGAGCATGTTGCAGGTCTGCTGTTAAAATGTATATCTATTGATTTTGCGTAACTGCACTCATTTTCTTCTTGTCTCATAATTGAGCCTGTTTTTCAAACATGTGTGCCCTTAGACTCAGAAGATGGAATTTCTAAATTAATCACTGCTATTGGGACGTAAGTATGGATTAAAGTAACAAAAACTATACTAGCAATAACACAAATATGTAACGCCTAATAATTAAGTGAAAGAAAGGAAACCCCTGCAGACAATTTACGACCCTCCGGTCAATATTGCCTAACAATAGCAGGATTTATTTCTAACTAATCAAAACAACCTTCCTGATGATTAAGTATAATATCAGCATCAATGAAGCCTAACTAAAGCATTTATTATAATTGTCCAGAAACTGGTTCAGTCTGTATCCTGCTTTCGATCAAGTAAAGCTGTGAGTTTAACTATAACTGTAATCATAGTAAATTTCGTGATAAATGTCTGTAAATTGATTAATGAAAAAAATTTCAGTTTGCAGTTTAACAGGCTGCCCCGACTCCCTCAGACCTTGGGCGCATAGATTTGCAATTCTGGAGTCAGCATTGTGTTCAAAGTGTGTTTATCCAAATCATTATGTTTTGATCAGTTTGCAGGCGCCCTTTTACTTATTATGTTTCTAAATTCCGACCAAGATGAAACAAACTTTTGCGACCAATCTCTTGCATTTGTGGTGTTTTCATACCAAAACTGAGTTACAAAATTATCGGTAAAATACTGTATCATATGCACAATCTTCAAATGTTTTCGACTTTAAATGTAGCCTTTCATTTCTTGTAATTGTTTGAAGTTCATATCAATCAACTTGAAATATATATAATGAAACAATAATTTTATTTTTGCACACAAAAAACCCCCTGAAAATAAATACTTAAGCTGTTTAGTTCGAAAATACTGGGTACAAATCACCAACTGAAAGTAAAACAAAGTTTAAACACGATTGAATCATAACTGTAACAAAACAAATGATCTTACCATTTTGTTTCAATATTGTTTCAACTGTTCATGTATCTTAATTTCATAATACAAGGCTGTCCTTTTAGATTTTATATAAAATATAACTTATAGGAAGCGTGACTGTCATCTGACATATTAGACGGGTTTCATTTATTATGTTTACGAAAATTGACTTCACAAGCAACTTCTTAAGAACGAAAAGGACTCTGTATAGTATGGGTTTACAGCGCATAAATAGCACAAATATTAAATAAAACATGGGCTGTTCTTAAGTATCCATTGACCCCTGTGATAAATGTGTCACTTCAAGTCTATTACGATCACGTATCCTATGTTACTGGGATACTCCAATCTCCTTTTTGCTCTTTACATGAAAAACTAATCTTGGGAAAACTTGAGGACCATACTATTTTAGTCTCGAATAAAACATATTTATTTACTTTTATGTCCGTAGAAACACGCTATTAAAATGTTCAAATATATCATTATTTTGATTGATAATAAAAATAAAAAGAATGTTATAAACTTTTTACATTATTTTGATCGAAAATTTAATGCAAGTTAGAGATTTATTTATAAAATGGCGACTTCCTAGACAAGAAAAAAAAATAAAAAAAATAGAACCAAGTTTCTTATACTTACCCGTTTGAAAAGTCATGGTAAGATGAAACTGATAACTTATTTGTGTCACTTCACTAGTCTCATTCCGGTGCACTGTTCTTCAATGTTCTTAATTATTTTTTTTTCCTGAAATCTGATCAAAATTAAAAAAGCTTTTGATACTATACCTCACAATCGTTTACTTTTGAAGTTAAAGAACTATGGTATTGATAATCCCATACTGAATTGGATACAAAATTTTCTCACTAATAGGAGACAAAGGGTTTGTGTTGAAGATAGTTTTTCTACTTGGTCTAATATCACGTCAGGAGTTCCGCAAGGTTCGGTCCTTGGTCCAGTTTTATTTATCATTTACATAAATGATTTGCCTGAAGTTGTTCAGTCTACATGTAAATTATTTGCTGATGATAGCAAATTATACAGGAAGATTTATTCTCAAAACGATCAGTTGTTACTTCAACAAGACTTACTACGTTTATGTGACTGGTCAGAGGACTGGCTGCTTCAATTTTCCATTCCTAAATGTAAATCAATGCAGATTGGTAACGTCAAGCTTCCATATATCTACGAAATGAAAAACTCTAATAGTCAAAATATCTCTTTACCTAAAGTTGATAGTGAGAAGGATCTCGGCATCACATTCCAAGATAATCTTAAATTTGATCAACATGTCTTAAATACTGTAAACCGTACAAAGAAATTAACGGGTTTAATAAAGAGAAGTTTTTCCTGCATGACAATACCTATGTTCTTGACTGTTTACAAAAGTCTGATAAGATCAATTGTTGACTATGGATCTTCTGTTTATTTTCCATCTACAAAGAAAAAACATTCAATTGATTGAAAATATTCAAAGAAGGGCAACTAGAATTATTCCATCATTGAAAGGTTTGTCCTATGAACAAAGACTTGTTAGGCTTAATTTGCCAACACTTTTATATCGTAGACAACGATTTGACCTCATTCAAATTTATAAAATAATTAATGGGTTTGATAATGTTGACCCGGATAAATTTTTTGTGTTCAATGATAACTGTACACGTGGACATATATTCCAACTATTTAAACCAAGTGTGAATAAAACACTAAGGAAAAATTCATTTCCTATTAGATGCATTGACCAGTGGAATAACCTAGATGAAAACATTGTTCTCAGTGAAAGTGTTTTGACATTTAAAACTTTACTCGACCGGAGCTGGCAAAGTCAAAGATTTAATACAAGTGACATTTACTGAAGTTAACTTGATAATACTGTATAGGAGGAGCTTACAAGCCATCTTGGCTTAAATGCTCAGAAGAAGGAGAAGGTAAAGGTAAAGGTAAAGGTAAAATTCAAATCAATTTTTTTTTTAAGTTTTATGGTCATGTGAAGTTAACCTCTTCTGTCTGTAATCAATGTTTAATGAGGGTACATGCACCCATTAAGGCACAATTGCTTTTGAAAATGTTGAAGTATTACAAAAAACTTTTTTGGACCATTGACAAACCGGGGTCATGCCTACTAAGATTCTTAAAGGTGAGGTTTTTCACCTCTGTGTGAAAGTAGGCAAAGCCTAAAAAAAAATTAAAAATTTATGCCTCCATAAGGGAGGCATAATATAATCGCAAATGTCCGTCTGACCGACACACTTCATTCATGTCCAGTCTGTAACTTTGTCATACATTGAGGGATTTGAAATAACTTGGCACAAATGTCTACCACATCAAGACGTTGTGTCGCATCCTAGAACCACGTCCCCTCCTTAAAGGTCAAGGTCACACTAACATTTTGAAGTTTCACATTATCACAATTAGAATTAATAGGTACACACAATCCTGTCCGGGCTGTAACTTTGTCATGCATAGAAGGATTTTTAAATAACTAGGCATAAATGTCTACAACATCAAGACAATGTGTCACATCCAATAATCGCGTCCCTACCTCAAAGGTCCAGGTCACACTACCATTTTGAAGTTCACTTTATCACAATAAGAGTTTATAGGTACACACAATAGTGTCCAGGCTGTAAATTTGTCATGCATCAAAGGATTTTAAAATAACTGGGCATAAATGTGTACCACATCAAGAAGACATGTCGCGACAAAGACCCATGTCCATACCTTCAAGGTCAAGGTCACACTTATAGTTTGAAGGTTCTCATTCTCTCAAGAAAAGTTTGAAGATACACATTCATGTCTGGACTGTAACTTTGTCATGCATCAAAGGATTTTAAAATAACTTGGCACGAATGTCTACCTCATCAAGAAAATGTGTCGCGGCTAAGGCTCATGTCCATCCATCCATGTGTCCCCACTTACACAACAAGCATGTCCAGACTGTAACTTTGTCATGCATTGAGGAATTTTGAAATAATTTGGCACAAATGTCTATCTCATAACAACATTTTGTAGCATCCAGGAACCATGTTCCGTCTTCAAAGGTTAAGGTCGCACTTATATTTTGAAGGTTCATGCTATCACAAGTAGAGATTACAAGTACAATAATACAAAGAACAATATTCAGCAATTAGTTACTTTAATTCTCTTTTCTTTTCATAATTCCTGCATGCTTATTGAAACCTTTTCGGGGGCATTCGTCACTTGGGTGACAGCTCTTGTTATTTTACATTTTTTGTTTAAAGAGACAGTCATTCTGTATTTCATGCACCACCTCGCTTTTCAATATGAATGATAATTATATTCTTAAGCTGAAAAGTTGCTGCATGTATTTTTCTGTTATCAGAATATTTGCCATAGAGATTAAAAACATGGCAGCGCATAACTACAAAGGACAATGAAAATTTCACTGATAGGTACAGAAATCTATATACAGTACAGCTCAAGTGATTTTTGCACCTTCTGCTTTCAGGGGGGACATACTATGGTCAGTCACAGTGGAAAATCACTGCCAACTGGTTAAAAATTCCTCGCAATCCCCAGTGGAAAATCACAGAGATTTGCTGTGATAAATATCTCATATAAATGTTCATGTTTATGTACAATGTAGTCTTGTTAGAAAAAATCAGTAACACTTATCTAGTTTCAGTTTCAGTTTATTTCTAGTAATATAGACCTCAGGCCCAAAATACAAAGTACAACAATACAATCAAACAGTAGAGTGATAAATTGCAAATACATTTGTAACTAGATGTAATGAATTGAATTTGTAAATAATTATACAGTATTTAGTTCTTCTTCCTTACTTACATTCATTGCATAATATATATATTTAGCAATAGATATTACTTCATTTGTTATTGTTGATGACATGAGAGAATAAAATAAATGGTGGGAATGGTGATGTAACCATGTATCTTTAAGTCTTAAAGTACTTGTCATGTAATGCTTTTGGAGAAGAATCAACAACATTATGCCAGTTTTGTGAATAACAATCAAATAAGCGTTGCTTAAACATATTATCTATTGCTTTGATAACAGCCAAAACATCATATGCATATGTATAAAAATTGGTAGTTCCATTCGCTTTAAAAATGTATATAAAATATATCACAATCAGAATGCACTTATGAATAATAATATGTCAATAATTGACGCAATAAATATCCAACATTTTATTTAGTGAACCAGCTTGAGCTCACCTGTATACTTAAGGGTTCATTTTCTTCGCAAACCTTTCCTTCAATTCTTTTAGCACATCATAATGACCAGGTCACATATTTTAAACACATTTTTTTTGTAATTATATTTTGCTGCTTGCAAACAGTTCCTCAACTTCTTTAATATGACATTTTAGGTCTTATATTTGAATGCCAGTGTTATATAGTGTTAGTGTTACAGATAATATATAAAGTAAAGATTCATGGTCATCTATACATTTTTAGAGTGCCATGACTTATTTGAAGAAGAAAATTTGAGCTATCTTGCTATAGTCAAGGTGCTGTTCTTGTTGCAGTCCACAAACTTTAACATAAATAGGTCATAATTTATATATTGATTTTTCTTTCTTAATGAATTGTCTTCATACTTGGTCACAATAATTATTTGACCTTTATGATGATTAAGTAGGCAAAATTGATAGTGACATTTATATATAATTTATTAAATGACCTTCATTTGTACTTAAATTCTTGTAACTTTCTTATTTGTAAATGGATTTTCTTCATACTCAATTTACAAACAGTTGAACATAACTACATTCAGGGCAATGTTTTTAAAGAAAATTAATCTAAATTGTCCCCCTTTTGGCTGAGGTGTTGCCTTTAATAGTTGACGTATCAGCATTGCAGCCACCATTTATTCCTGCATGATTGTATGTTCAAATAACTGAAATCTATGAATCTCTTAGCTCCAGCAGGTGAGGTGATTTTGACCCCTCGTGTTGTTTTAAGTTTGTAACACCTAGGGTTAGCCAGAATCAGCTTTCCTGTTATGACTTAAATTTTTTGTTGGTGCACCGTAAAACCAACAAACTAAGTTTGACCTTGACCTCAAGGGTTTATAAAGCCAACCAAATGTCCATGTCAAGGATTCCTAAAAAGCTCTTTTTCTATTATTATTATCATAATTCTTTGTACTTCAAGCTGTTTAAATTTATTTTGCCCAAGGCTGACAAACCCCATCTTAAAATTTCCACATTGTTATAATTATAAAAAGATTCCTTGCAGGGACAAAAGTAAAATCTAAGAGAAGTAATTTTATTCAGAATGTCAGTTTTCCGATAATTAACAACACAAATGTTTGAGTAATGTTTGACACCATTTTATGTATGTGCAGCAAAAATTGCCCGAAATCAACACCACAGTGAGAGCCTTGGCCCAGTTCAATCTATTATATCATTTTTTATATTTTCAAAATTTCAGAGCATTCACTCACTCCCATATTTCCAGAATAGTTATTCTAATTGTGAAAAATGACCCAAAAATTGAAAAGCAGGCATAAAATTGCACAATAATAATTATGATTTTGTATTTATTTCTGACTATATTTCTTAATAATCTTTTGCATATTAACTTTCTGTTTTAAGTGCATCAGTTGATCTACTCATAATGTACATATTAAGATATTCAAATGTAATGTTTATAGGCTTTTGTACCTAAGTGGAGTCCCTTTAAAGCAGCATGCCTCCATATTCTTGCTAGTTTTCATGGAAATTTTGAAAATGTTTTTAAAATTTAAATATTGTGAAATGAACAAAGAAAGTAATTTACACATTGTAAACGGCACTTACAAACCACCTAAGTTACTAAAAAGAGGGCAAAATATGCAAATTATACCTATGGTGATTAATAATGCAAAATCAGTGATAAATTGCATATAACATGCAAATCGTTAAATGAATCTTGATACATTTTTCTAAAGTTTGATTTTGACTCATCTGGAGGCATGCAACTTTAAGCTTTAAACTTTTAATTCTATTACTTACATATATATATGACAAAAGAATAAAATTTTTAGACAAAATGTATGCATGGAAATTACGGACAATTATTTATGGTAATATCCTCATGAATTAGTATAATTTATAAAATTGTTTATGAATTGTATGCTGTATAGTGCCTATAGCAGTGTTTGAATGGGTTTCTGCCGGTACTGACTCAGATTTGTACAGGAAGTTAATAGAGTGTTATTATAAATGATTACAATAAACCACAACATTATCCTACTTGACATTATATGTACATGTTGTTGCCATTATACATGTAGTATGTTAATGTACATATAATTAATATATAATATTTTAAACATGGATATAAAGGTAGTGTTAGGTTATTTTGTAAAAAAGAATCTTAATTTTTTTTAGTGTTGGATGTTATTATAACATATGAATGTGTAAAAACTGTTTGAATGAACGTTTCAAGCAGTATCAGATTATATGCTGGTAACATATGTACCGGGGTATGTATACATGTACATGAATTTGGTTATGATGGAAATATAATATTTATGTTGTATCTACATGTACTATTAATAGGTGTACATGTATATCCATCTTTGAATAGCTGTACACTAGTGTAATGTGGAAAATGCATTTTTTGCTCAACTATTTGAAGAATAGGGAGCTAATATTGAACTCACCCAGCCTGCATCACAGTTTTCTCTAAAACTACTTAAGAGAGTAAGATGAAACTTCACATGCTTATTTTAAAGTATAATAGGATGTCACTATCCAAGGCCCATAACTCTAACATGGATTTTGATAGCATTGTGGCCCTTAAGATTGTGGTACTCTGCATTTCTTATTTTTTTAGTTATTGCCCTTTGTTAATTTTCATACTTTATTTTTGTCCAGGCCATTTCTCCTAAAGTATAAAAGTTATGGACTTGAAACTTCATAAGATGAGATCTCATTAAGAAGAAGTGCAGTGCACAAGAACCAGTACTCTGCATTTCTTATTTTTTGAGTTATTGCCCTTTGTTAATTTTCATACTTTATTTTTGTCCAGGCCATTTCTCCTAAAGTATAAAAGCTATGGACATGAAACTTCATAGGATGAGATCTCATTAAGAAGAAGTGCAGTGCACAAGAACCAGTACTCTGCATTTCTTATTTTTTGAGTTATTGCCCTTTGTTAATTTTCATACTTTATTTTTGTCCAGGCCATTTCTCCTAAAGTATAAAAGCTATGGACATGAAACTTCATAGGATGAGATCTCATTAAGAAGAAGTGCAGTGCACAAGAACCAGTACTCTGCATTTCTTATTTTTCATATTAAATTTTTGTCCTGGCCATTTCTCCTGAACTATATTGTTCACAAGGTGACGCATCTGACTCGCGGAGTTCTAGTTTTACTATCAAGCACTGGATATAGTTGAGCGTGCTGTCCTACAGACAACTCTTGTTTAACCAACAAAGTCTTAGATGTTACAAGTACATGTATAGTGTGAATATTAATTTTATAGGTAGCATATGGGAAGGAGCATGAGGGTTGACCGGACTCCATGATGGATGGTTACGCACCCTCAAGGAGACGTCACATATGCGTCATGCTGACACGAAGTCGAATGGCTCAGCTGATTTTATGTCTCCTCCTTGTATTAATTATGACGCCGCTGGTTGCTCATTATTACATCTCCAATATGAGCGGTCAGAGCATCGAAGGTCACAGGTAAGTTATTTGATTGTCAATCAGTGGTTGTGTTTGAAATGCCCATTATATCTGTCAAAATACTATTTGTTTACATTTTGCTATATTAACGAAAATTAATTTCACATTTATTGCTGCTTTATTCAATACTCTACAACAAACTCAAAGTAGTTATGTTCACTGTCCTAGATTATTTCTATTAGAAGCATAATAAACCAAAATCCTCCCTCGCCTTCTTTGAGTGTTTTCTTGATACTTTCTGTTAGTACATTTTTTGTCATATAAGAGTGTTTACCACTGTTTGATTATTATTTAATTAGTAAGTTAAAGTAAGAAAGAAAGTTACTGTTAGTGAAAGCTTTATTTATCGAGACTTATACACTTGGTTTGCCAATCTTCAATGTGGACCTCGAAAAATAACCCCCAAAGAACATACTTTACAATGTACATGTATATAACTGTTACACAGCATTAGTAATGTGGAACAAAGTACATTATCAGAACAGAAAATGCATGTTTATATGTGTATGTGCAATCCAGTTTTATTTTGAATACTAAATTACTAATATGACTCCAGCTAGCTTAAGGAACGTTGGTGGTTCTACTCAGGTGCCTGTTCGTACAATAATGCCAGGAAGGGGACCTGAGATCTTCCTCAACCAGTTAAGTTGGAACGTCAATATGACCTATACTGTGTTGATATAATATAAGACCCAATCAAACAAACAAACTAATATGAGTCTTTGCATACATGCTCAGAAGGTTTCAATAATCCTTAATTAAATATTTATGTTTGTAAATGTTTACAGATCAAGGCTACCGTCTGCTCATAGTGATGAAGAGGGTTTCAATGGTGTACAATGTAACGATCTCAAAAATCAGGTCACCGAACTCCGGCGTATTCGTGCGTCTGTCAATAACGAGTTGCGAGAACTAGAGAGTAAACGCCAAGGTCTTCAGGTGGAGATAACTAAACATAAAACACAGCTAGAGTCCCTTAGAATGCAACAAGAAAACATGGCAAAAGAAATCCAACAGTCCAAGTTGAATCTGGACCAGCTTAAAGTAGAAGAACATGAATTCGCAAATCGATTTCAGCCTCTTCTAAAAGCTCCGGAACAGATTCTATTAGACGAGGCAAATAAAGATATCACCAAAGAGCCACCGTCATCTCCTCACAATTGTAGAATGCATTCTTGTTTTGATTATTCAAGATGTCCACTTTTTTCAGGGTTTCCCGTGTATGTTTATGGATTTACTAATCATTTTAAAGATGAAAATTTGAATGAATTTATCAAGTCGGCAGTTTATTATTCATTTGATAAAAGCTCATATGTTGTGAATACCCCAGCAACTGCTTGTATATTTGTTGTGTTATTAGGGGAAACATTTTCACAAGTTAGTGGCGAGACTTTACAAAATAAGCTACAAAGTTTGTCACAATGGAATGGTGATGGAAGGAATCATGTTTTACTTAATTTAGCTAGAACTTCTACAAATTTTGATTTATTTAATGGTGTTAATACTGGCAGAGCCATAATCGTGCAATCATCCTTTGTTGAGTCTATTTATAGATTAAATTATGATATTATTACTCCACCCACTTTGGGTAACTCTGACGGACCAGTTTGGTCTGAATTGCCTCCCTTGAATCCTATAAGGAGGCAGTATGTTCTGTCGTTTGTGGGACAGTTTAGTGATATTTCAAACATTGAGGGAGCAGATTTGTCACACAATACTAGATCTGATTTAAATAACGACCAGAACTTCAAATCAAGAAATTTACAAGCTGATGTAGATATACCTCACTCCAGTAACCCAAAAAGCATTGCCAGTAAATTGATTGATATAGAACTGATGATTGTGGGTCATTTAAAAAAAGTAGAAAGTGAGTCAAAAGATAGTGTTTATTTTAATTTCATGTGCGATAAAGGTGCCAAGACTGGATTAAATGGTGAATGGGCATTATGTGGAACAGAGGCAGAAAGATCAGATTATCTACTGAAATCTACTTTTAATATAATTATCTCCCCTGCAAATTTTAGTCTTGTATCTACAACAGTGTTTCAGATGAGATTGTATGAATCTCTAAAATATGGAGCGATTCCAGTGATACTGGGTGATTATACACATCTTCCTTATGAAGAACTTCTTGACTGGAGAAAAGTGGCGATAATTTTACCAAAGTCACGAATTTCAGAAATGTATTTCATGTTAAGTACTTACACTGACACAGATGTAATGGATTTTAAATGGAATGGACGAATGTTCTGGGAGACATATTTTGCGACAACAACATCTATTATTTCATCGATGTTGGCTGTGATACGTACTCGATTGCTAATTCCAGCAAAACCGGTGAGAGAAGAACCTTCTCCAAACTCAGTGACAAATTTCATTCCAGTTGCTCAACATTTAGGTAATAAAATATTACATTTTTTTGTGAATTAGAATACATGTATAAATAACTTTTAAAAGATAATGCCTATCATATTCAGTATTGATCCAATACTTATTCAGTATCCTTTAGAAATACTTAAGTTTTGAAAATTTGATAATTGAACAAATATCACTTAAAATGCTGTAAAACTATTTGCTGCTAAACAGTATTGTGTCACAAATCTGTATATGGTGCATCATAGCATGAAAATTTAAGTTACCCAGTTTACAGGGACACTGTGATAGGGCGATTACCACAACTTTTCCGCGCAACGTCAAAATATTATCCTTCTGACTGAGACACCGTATTTCTGGACAAAATATTAATGGCGGGATAAACAATTCCAGGTAATAGCTTACAAAATATCTTACTGCTGGACATTGCAAGATTATTCCAATTGTTTAAGTATTCCATCGAATTTTTGAGACAATTTATCGTTAATCTAGCACAATACAATTCACAAATAAAAACATACTTCGAAGAAATAGTGTTTACAAAAGATCGTGTATACCTCAACATGACTCGTACTTGTCACAAAAACATGTGTTATAACGACGATGTCTTTGTTCTATGACCTAACGAGCTCGTATATTTATTACGGTTAACCCTAAGTTCAAGTTCCATACAAAATTGTGTGTTTCTATCGTAAAATTCAGGGAATATATGTTGAAAAAAGGCCTTCTGACCCGAATATTGGAGCACCGTACAACACTGAATTCAAACACCCGCATTCTTTTCTGTTAGACCGATAAATACTGGCACCGTCTTCTTTTGAATTTTACAATCTTCTTACAAATATGTTTTATTTGATGAAAGATTGTTTACTTGCTGTTATGTTATCATACGTTATGTTATGGAACATTTCTGAAGGTCTGATCTGTGTTAATACTACCAGTTAGATAAGTGCAATGGTATCTATATATAGATGGATGTCTTTTCCTTTTCGAACTTATTCAAACTGATAAACCCCACATGGAAAGATTGAAGTTCTTGGCAGACTATACCATCTAACAACATCGAGAAACAAAAGGAATGAAATATTTGTTAATGGGAATTTCTTATTGCATACTAATTTGATAAAGTTGCAAAAGTCATAACATAAATTTTCATGGTGTAGTTTTAGCAGGAACCCGGGCAATATTTCCATAATCTCTTCAGTCATGGTCTCCAATGTGCTTTTTTAAACAATCTTTTGCGAAAGTTTGACTTCATATTCTTTTTCTTATGTGGTGCGTTAAGCATATCGTCCTGAAATACAGGGAGGCGCTGATCCATTGGGGTACTGCTGATATCAGAAGACTAAGTTGGGCGCTCTCCAGTTGCTGCAGTATCTGCAGCTTTGCCAATTTCGCACGTTGCTTTTGCTTGTTCAGACATAGGTTTTAACGTCTTCTTTTTCTGAAAGCAAACATTAACATGAAAAATAAACAGTGCTAAAAAACAGAAAAATGCGGTGATTTTAAGGAGGAATTATGCGGTGCCCTAATCTTATGATTGACAAAGTTGTGCGGACGGTGCCTTAAAATACACACGTGGAAACATAAAAATCATACCAAATATACAAAGAACGGGTTTTTGTGTCGCCTCTACGGAGTAGTGGCGACATATAGGGATCACTTCTCCGTCGTCTGTCTGTCCGTCTGTCTGTCTGTCTGTCCGTCCGTCCGTCACAAAACTTGTCCGGACTACTCCTCATAAACTACTGGTGCAATTTCATCCAAACTTTACAGGAATGATCAGTACCAAGTCTAGTTGTGCATATTGTCAGGATTTTCCGGTTCAATGATTTTTGTCAGAGTTATGGCCCTTTAATAATTTTTAATTTTAAAGTTTGTCCGGACTACTTCTCTTATACCACTAATGCAATTTCAATGAAACTTTACAGGATTGATCTGTAGCTCAAGTCCTTGCGCATATTGCACGGGTTTTCCGGTTGAATGATTTTTGGCCGAGTTATGGCCCTTTGATAAAAAGGTTTCTTTTTCTGTGTGTTGCCAGATACACAAAAGCTTGTCCGGACTACTCCTCATAAACTACTGGTGCAATTTCATCCAAACTTTACAGGAATGATCAGTACCAAGTCTAGTTGTGCATATTGTCAGGATTTTCCGGTTCAATGATTTTTGTCAGAGTTATGGCCCTTTAATAATTTTTAATTTTAAAGTTTGTCCGGACTACTTCTCTTATACCACTAATGCAATTTCAATGAAACTTTACAGGATTGATCTGTAGCTCAAGTCCTTGCGCATATTGCACGGGTTTTCCGGTTGAATGATTTTTGGCCGAGTTATGGCCCTTTGATAAAAAGGTTTCTTTTTCTGTGTGTTGCCAGATACACAAAAGCTTGTCCGGACTACTCCTCATAAACTACTGGTGCAATTTCATCCAAACTTTACAGGAATGATCAGTACCAAGTCTAGTTGTGCATATTGTCAGCATTTTCTGGTTCAATGATTTTTGTTTGACTTATGGCCCTTTAATAATTTTTATTTTTAAAGTTTGTCCAGACTACTTCTCTTATACCACTTATGCAATTTCAATGAAACTTTACAGGATTGATCTGTAGCTCAAGTCCTTGCGCATATTGCACGGGTTTTCCGGTTGAATGATTTTTGGCCGAGTTATGGTCCTTTGATAAAAAGGTGTTTTTTTCTGTGTGTTTCCAGATACGCAAAAGCTTGTCCAGACTACTCCTCATAAACTACTGGTGCAATTTTATCCAAACTTTACAGGAATGATCAGTACAAAGTGGTTAGTCTAGTTGTGCACTGTCCGTCTGTCTGTCCGTCTGTCACAAAATTTGTCCCAACATGAAATTGGCCATCATGAGGCGACACATGTGATTACTGATCGCTCTTGTTATGTATTGTAACTTGTTCATACGACAATAATGTACATATTTATATTGTATTTTGACCAGTTATATGAACTGAACGGATTAGAAATACGTTATATTTCGTAATCAAAGCAAGATTTTTTTCAGTATGCCCTAAATGTTTTCACTATCCTGACTTAATTAATGAAGCATTTTGCATGTAGTAAAGATAAATAAGTTTCAAATTAAATGGCACATTCGATGAAAAAGAAAAAATGATGATTTTACCTTGTTTTGAGCAAATAATCTGCTGTTTTCGTCTTGGTTACAGGCTTGCTGTCCATTTTGTACCACAGAAATATACGGTGTCTCGGACAGAAGTAAGATATTTTGACGTTGCGCGGAAAAGTTGTGGTAATCGCCCTATCACCGTGAGGGAGCAAATCCATATGATATTCAGCAGGTTTAGGGTTCAAGTTTCAAATATTTTATGTTACAGGTGTGGACCCAGAAGATGAAACAGACGAGGTTTTAGGGCCGGTTGAACCGCCATTCCCTTCAATGACCTACAAACAAAACTTTACTCATTCAACTCTACGTAAAGTGTTCAATAAGCCGGGTGATCCATTTCATTTGTTTCCATTTACACCATTTGAAAATATCTTGCCTTCTGATTCCAAATTTAGAGGTAAGTTGTTGTAGATAGTTATGGTTTGTGAAATATAATAGATCTCATATTAATGTTGTTATAGTCATATAAATTATAGTTTCACATCGCATCATGCTTGTGATGACCTTTGTAATATACATGTACAGTTATATATAATGTAATTAGAATAATTATTATGCGAGGCCTGGTAGTTGATGTCATTGACTTCAAATCACTTTTCATAAGACTACTAGTCTGAGGTGTTAACCGCTCGGACATGCCGCCTCGCACTGTTTAATGAATTTTTAAGTGTATTTATTAATTATCTTTTGCATATTTTTGTTTTATGATTTTTAGCTGATCTATGTAAGAAATTAAAAATTAATGTTTATAAACCTTTTTACCTCTGTGGCTATACTGTGAATCTTCTGAAATTAGGATTAGGGTAAGTATTTTCATTTTTCTGATAAGGTTTAGGAGATGGATTTTCTTTTTTTTTAATTTGAACTGTAGCATCTGTGATGCAGAACCATTTAGCAATTGACTTGTTCTAATTTTAGGATCAGGGTATGGTTATCGACCAATCAATCAAGGGGAAGGCGGGTCAGGTAATGAATTTTCAACAGCCATTGGTGGAAATCATCCCAGGGAACAGTTCACAAGTAAGTCTAACAAACTTTGATCCTTCTTCTATTATTTCTCTACAAGTTCATTAGAGCAAATATTGTATACAACAAGCAATAAGATCAACACAATTTATATTTATGTTCTATGGTGGCATATATCTGCCAACAGTTAACCATATAATTATCATGTTAAATAACTGACTTACTAGTTAGTTTTCATGTAGCATGATTAATAACAGATATTTATCAGACTAACTAGATATTTTTTTCTGTTAGATAAATAACGAATAATTATCTAACTTCCAAAAAACACTAAAGAGTGCCCAGGACTGCCAACACTTACCAGTTAAATAATATATAATATTCTGTTTATCTATAATACTTTTGTGTTTGTTAACTTAAGTATCAGATAATTATCTGTATAACTAGATAAAATTTCAATTAATTAATGCAGATCGATTCAGACATGTTCCTTGCCATGATGATATAGAAACTGGTTGGCATTGTATTAAATTGGGAAATGTCACTCAGTAAATGTCATACTCGGGGGTGGCTCTTGTTGGCTGTGTATTTGTACATTGTTGGCTGGACTGTGTACATATACGTCATTGACTGTTGTTATATTCATATGGTTTATGGCTTAACTCTCTCACTATGACAATTTTTTCAGTGGTAATGCTGACCTATGAACGCTCTGATGTTTTGATTAAAGCAGTAACCAGACTAAAAGGATTACCATACCTTAACAAAGTTATTGTTGTGTGGAACAATCCTGCTGTACCCTCAGAGAACCTTGGCTGGCCAGATATTGGGGTGCCCATTGTTGTAAGTTTTTATATTTACATTTGTACATGTATAAACAATACCTGAATGAAAGTTTTTAAACCTCACCATACCTTTGTAAGAATGTTATTGTACAGTACCTTTCTGAAAAGAGTTTACATACCTTGTAAAAATGTTGCTGTATGAAAATTTACTCCATAGTTTGTTTTACCATACTTTGAATGTGTAGAATATCTACATTCTGAAAATTACAACTGGATTGATTACAGAAATCCTTAATCATTACAGGTTGTAAAAATGAGCAAGAATAGTTTAAACAACAGGTTCCTGCCATTTGAGGCAATTGAAACAGAGGCTGTATTAAGTATAGATGATGACTCCCACCTGCGACATGATGAAATCGTGTTTGGTTTTAGGTTAGTTTATTTAACATTACCTACCTAATTTAGAAAAAGGAAATTGGCCTGTTTTTTTTATCAGGAAGTGTTTATTGTTTCTTTATACGGAAGTCCTGATTTGTAACACTAGCCCTTCACTGTTGTGAGTTCTTATCTTGCAAGGGACTTAGAATCATTTATGTAATTTCATAAGGGAATAAGGATCATTTTTGTAATTTCATAAGGGACTTTGAATAATTTTTTTTTTTTTTTTCAAGAAATACTTTCAAGAAAAATGTGTCCATTGTAGACCAATTCCCTTTAAAAGCAAGAAGTTTATACATTTAACAGGGTATGGAGAGAGGAAAGAGACAGAATTGTAGGGTTTCCAGGACGATATCACGCCTGGGACGTGAAACACAATGCCTGGTTATATAACTCAAACTATACATGTGAGATGTCCATGGTTCTTACTGGTGCAGCCTTCTTTCATAAGGTAAATAGTTCTTAAAGGAACCCAACTGAAGACAAAAGCCTGAAAACATTAGAATTTAACATAAATCAGCTGGGGTACTTATAACAGAAAGATATACAAAAGATAATTAAGAAATGTATTCAGAAATAAAAAGAAAGTTGTATTTTGGTGCTATTGTTAGTCCAAATTGAGTAAAAATCATTGCAATGCTTTTTAATTTTGTCCTTTTTCTTCTCTTTTACAAATCAGAACATTGCATTATTAATCATAAATTAAAAAATGAGATATATCTTTTAAGTGAAATTCTTTATATATTACTGAGAAGTGAGAAAATTGAAATAGTTTCACACAAATTGATATGTTTGCTAACAAGAAGGTTTGCACAGTTATATGACCCAAACTGTGAGTGATATTGATTTTTATTTTACTGACTGATAATTTCTAATTTTTCATTGGTAAGCATGAAATTAACAACTTTATTATTTTAGTCTGTACATGTAAACATAAAAATCGCAAACAAATGTTCAAATATTTGATGACTTAGCATTGTATCAGTTATTTATTTGTCACAATATAATTTTTTGCATAAAAACTGTGCAATGGGCTATTCGATAAATGCAGAAAATATGCATAAATTCATTATAAAATCATTGGAGCATGCACTATTGTTGAAAGCAACTGTCAAATGACACCACGCTCACACGTGAAAAGCATTGAGAAACTTGTTTATTCATATGACCAACAAAAAATGGAAACAGCGAATTAGTGATGCATACAGATATTTTTATGCAAGAGTAGCGCTAATGCACATTTCTTGGTGCTTTATCATCTGCAAAAGCCCTTGGACTTATTAAATCCCTCGCAGTACAGACTAAGGCTTGAAACGCGTGCAGATGCCAGAAAAAGGTGATTCACCCTCTGTTGTTTTCTATATTAAATGGTACATCAATGATTACAACTTTCATGTTTGACACATTTCAGTATTATGCCTACCTCTATAGCTACACGATGCCTCAAGCAGTTCGAGATAAAGTAGACGAGTACATGAACTGTGAGGATATCGCGATGAACTTTCTCGTATCCCATATCACGAGGAAACCTCCAGTCAAGGTTTGTCAATATTTGTCATATGTTATACAATGTAATGTTGTTTTAATGTTACATTACTTTCATGTGAGGAAGCTATTCAGCTAGCTTATGAAAAGTTGATGGTTCTACTCAGGTGCCTAATAGTGCATAAAATAATGCAGGGATTGGTAACTGAAGTCTTTCTCCACCAGTAAGGCTTGAAAGTCTCCATATGACCTCTACTGTCTAGGTGTGATGTTAGAAAACCTAAGAAACCATCAAAACATTACTTTTACATTGTTTAATTGTAATATTGTTTTATTGTTGTGTATGGGGTGTCTTTGTCTGAGTGAATAAGGTCGTTGACTTTAAACCACCTGGCCTTCACTGCTGTGTGTCTAAATCCCACCATGGAATATATTTGTAACACCAACACTTTCATGCAGTACAGCATATGATAATTTTTGTTGGAGATAATATTATCGTCATTTTTACCAGTATATTGAAGATACAGGTTGAATACTTGTATAATAATATATTTTATATGATTTAACTTCCTTTTGTTATAGGTAACCTCTAGATGGACATTCCGCTGCCCTGGTTGCCCACAGCAACTTGCTCTTGATGAGTCACATTTTGAAGAACGACATAAATGTATTAACTTCCTTGTAGAGATTTATGGTTATATGCCTCTATTATACACGCAGTTTAGAGTTGATTCTATCCTGTTCAAAACCAGGATATCTCATGATAAACAGAAATGTTTTAAATTTATTTGATTTACTAATTATGTCATTGATGATACAGAGCACATTGTGGTCAAGTGAGATATTTTCATTGGTCTTTTTTGTTAAAAGGACTTCAGAGGTTTTATGACTTGACAGGACTGGAAATACTTTTTATAGATTAATGTTCCACTTAATGTAGGTCTAGACCAATAACTTGAGTGCAAAATGTCACATCATTTGCTCACTCTGTTTTCCAGAATAAATTATATTTGTAAAAAATGATGAAAATTAAATAGCGTTGCAGCTCAAATCAGGCTAAGAATAGCACAAAAATACTATTTTCAATTTATTTACGAGTATAGTTCCTAATTATTTTTGGCATAATTCTTTTAGCATTAAGTGTCTTATATTAGGTTATTATTTGTAAACAATTCAAATTCTCTATTTTTTCAGCTTTTGGACCTCAGTAGAGGTGGACAAATGAACTGATATTTTGCAGGCTAGATATTGGGCCGATTTAATGTTTTATAAATATTGAAAGAATATTTTCAGTCCTGTCATGTCAAAAAACCTTTGTGGAATCCATTCAATTTAAATTTTTTACATGAGCAATATTATTTTAATGGCTTGTTGAACGAGAATAACACTAACACTCCTGGGATATAGAAATTTAAACATTTATGTTTGGGCTTTAGATAAATTTGTATTTTTTTTCCATAAAAACAGTTTAGACAAGAAAAGTTCTGTAGAAGAAATATCTTTATGTTTGAAAATGATTGTTATTTTTGATATGTTATTTTTTTTAAAATTTTGTTGAACTTGGTTTACATTAACAAAGTTGTAACTAAAGGTTTGTACATACTCATGTGCACATACCATTTCTAACAAATACAATGTAGTAGCAGCATATACATATATTTAGGTTAAGATCACATTGTAAATTCACTTTTATTTATGAAAAACAAACATTGTTTCATTGATTGTACAACAATTAGAGGGTGATAGTTGCTTTGTTGGTATCACACGTTCTGTTGATTACAGTTAAATCATAAATCATTGACAGAGAGTAAGTTTCACTAATTTTTGCAAAATGAAAATTTTCCAAAAATAAAAGTTCAAGCAAGTATTTACCATATACATGTATCTAACATTACTGAGAGTGGAAATTTGGGAAGATTTCTGAAATGTTGATTTTGTGAAATATCGACTGTGCGAAAATATCTAATTTTACAGTATAATAACTAATTACATAGACCCAAGGGCATTCCATAACATATGGATGTTTATTATATTCAAATAAAGTTGGTGCATGGAAGAGTTTCATCAATGTAATACGTATTTTTTGTCTCTTATTATACTTCATGTTTGTAATGTTGAATTTCATTGGACAATTTTTGTAATATTGAATTTCATTGGACAATTTTTGTAATGTTGAATTTCATTGGAATATTTTGCTAATGAATGCTGCAGTTTTATAAATTTGTTGTAAAGACTTTGGACAATTTATATGCCTTTTCATTATATAACCATTTCTACTTGGCCATATAGCCGTCTAAAAAGTCTTTACTAACCTCTTGTGATAAAATTGTAGAAACATTTCAACTCTGTGATAAGTAAATATTCAATTTACAGCACTGGAGCTGTAGCCATTTTGGTTTTTCTATGTAATTGTAATATAGTACAACTGTTATTTTGCCATGTAAGTTTGTCTTGTATAAAGATAATTGCCAAAACTGTCACTTAGTGCTGATCCTATATGTATATACAATGTAGATAAATAATGAAAACTTCGCTTTTCATAATTTTAAATGGCTACAAAAAGCATTATTTCTTGATTACAGTATTGTATATGTTTAATTTTAGGAACAGCCATATCTTTTTTTAAGGGAAATGAAATATTGTTTTTTTTTTAATTTTACTGCTCTCCTATTAATTTTTAGCTTGCTGGTAGTCACAAAATCTTCAGCTCAATAGGAGAGCATTGGATAAGAAATTCAGAGGTCACTGGTTTGACCCTCATGCGAGGGGTGATTTGTCCGAAACGATTCATCTCAGACATTGAATGTAATGGTCATTTGTCTCTCATCACTGATTAAGAAAGTATGTAGGATAGGTAGTTGGTCACTTGTGGAGAAATTGGTAATTACTGGTAAGTTACCCAGGAAAGCAGGTTAGCTGGATCAACTGTTGAGATATGACCAAAATGTGTTAAAATGTGCGTAAAAAAATTGGAAAAACCAACAAACTTTATTAATGTAAATAATTGTTTTATATAAGAAGCTAAGTGTTAACATTTTGAAAATTACACATAGCAATTGAATTGTTTCAACACTTTTATGTGCTGGCAACATTCATGCTGTTTGATCATGGCCTGCACTGTTTGCTATTCCATCAATACATTTTTAAAAAAGATTTCCCGGAAAATGATCAATGGTTTTGTAATAGAAAGTCTGTTTAAGATATATAGTGTGGTAAAGGTTCAAATGTTTTACCTTTGCTGGTAGAATGTGCATTATTTTGTGTTTAATTATAGGATAAAGTAGATTTTCTAAACTGATACTTCTTGTTATATTTGTTGTAAGGAAAACTGATATCTGAATATGATATTGTCAGAACTTAAGTGACTTTGTTGTTGACAATGTTTTAGTTTATATTTCATTCATTTATGTACCAACTGTCCCTTTTAATGCTGTTTAGAAATAATTGTTCATGATGAGTATTAAAATAAGATAATCTTTAGATGAAAGGTTGAAAATTTTCGCTTATTTCAGGGTAGATATCATTTAATTAAAAATTACTTGAATACTGACCACCAATTTACAGCAAGCAATATTTGATTCTTGTAAGGTTTTCTTTTACAACAAAAAAAACTTGATGAAATTTGTCTAAAATTCATTTGTGATGAAATTTGTCATTAAATTCATATACCTGTATGTTTGTGGGTTTTTTGTGGGTCTTTTCCTACTGTGTACATGTATATATATTTTTTTTTGGTTTTAATGTGTTCATTATGATGATTGAAATGACATTGTTAACAATTTATTTTGTGAAAATTTCTTCCTGACTTCATTATCTATTTTGTATGTTATTTTATATTTGGTAATTGTCAACAAATATCTTGCAGACTTAAAGACATGTAAATGTGCATGTTACATTATAATGAACTACATGTAGTTGTCTATTTATTTGTTTGAAGTCTTCCTCCCAAAAAAGGTTGGCAGTCCCACAACCATGTTCAGAAATCTATTTAACAATAATGATTTTATCACAATTTAAATGAAAAATGTGGGTTATTTTTTTTTTTGCTAGTTTCCTTAGCCAGCTAACTGGAACTGAATCTGTCCATGTAACCAGTGCAGACCAAGGTCAGCTAGCACATTTGTACTTTCTGATCATGGTTAGCACTGTTAGCTATTCAGTCAGTATTTAAATTAAAATTTTCCCCCAAAAATTGTAGAATTTTGTCTATATTGAAAGATAGCCGAGTCCATTTTAAGATATTTTATGGTTGTAAGGGTAAACTGATTATCTTGTATAATGTACTAGTCCCATTGTAAATTTTGAATTGTTCATCATTGTAAACTTGAGATTTTGTAATTTAAATGAAAAAATCAGGCAGTCAGGATGATAGAGACTGTATTTTATTTGTAGGCTATAATTATATTCACTATATACAGGCGGCATAGAAAAATCAATAACCCTTCAAGCTTTGGCTGGGATTTAAACTCTCAACCGTAAATGTTTTAACTTTTTTTTGTAAGTTATATCTTTTAATTATTTCAATCTGAGATTTATTTTTTTATTTGGGGTAAATTAGCAACCAAAAATTAAATCATACAAAAAAGTTTTACAAATGGAACTTATACGGTTCCAAGTCCGACAGTTTAATATTATTTAACATCTCTTTTTCTGTTTTTTTGTTTAATGAAGTTTTATTTCTTTAAGTCATTATTTCATACTATAGAAAAAGGTTGTAAAACAGATTAGATTTGTAGCTTTTGACGAGTTGAATTGAACGAATAATTGTTAATGAACTAGTGGTAGTGTTCTATTCTTAGATTTGTATTTAGTACTTTGTTTACAACGTTTGATCGAAGGGCTAGTCATTTATAAATGGCATATGTTTGGGCCATGTACATCATATTTTCTACTATATATGTAAATAAATATACTTCCAATAATACTAATACAAATATCTCTACACTGAAGCTTTTAATAATGAAATTGTTTTATATTAATTTATAAATTGTTTATAAATATTGCAAAGGTGCTTTTTTAGCTCACCTGAGCTTGCTCAGGGTGAGCTTTTAGGATCGGTGAATGTCCGTCGTCCGTCGTCCGTCGTCCGTCGTCCGTCGTCCGTCCGGCCGTCCACAATTACTTGTGAACACTCTAGCGGTCGCATTTTTGCCTCAATCATCATCAAACTTGGTCAGGATGCTTATCTAGTTAAAAGCTCGGATGAGTTCGAACATGGGTCATCTCGGATGAAAAACTAGGTCACAAGAGCTAAAAATAGATAAACCTTGTGAACACTCTAGAGGTCACATTTTTGACCCAATCATCATCAAACTTGGTCAGGATGTTTGTCTAGGTGATAGCTTGGATGAGTTCGAACATGGGTCATCTCGGATGAAAAAGTAGGTCACAGGAGCTATAAATAGAAAAACCTTGTGAACACTCTAGTGGTCACATTTTTGAACCAATCATCATCAAACTTGGTCAGAATGCTTGTCTAGTCAATTGCTTGGATGAGTTCGAACATGGGTCATCTCTGATGAAAAACTAGGTCACAGGAGCTAAAAATAGAAAAACCTTGTGAACACTCTAGTGGTCACATTTTTGACCCAATCATCATCAAACTTTGTCAGGATGCTTGTTTAGATAATAGCTCGGATGAGTTCGAATATGGGTCATCTCGGATGAAAAACTAGGTCACCGGAGCTATAAATAGAAAAACCTTGTGAACACTCTAGTGGTCACATTTTTGCATCAATCATCATCAAACTTGGTCAGGATGCTTATTCTAGTTGATAGCTTGGATGAGTTCGAACATGGGTCATCTCGGATGAAAAAGTAGGTCACCAGAGCTAAAAATAGAAAAACCTTGTTAACACTTTAGCGGTCACATTTTTGCATCAATCATCATCAAACTTGATCAAGATGCTTGTCTAGGTGATAGCTCGGATGAGTTCGAACATGGGTCATCTCGGATGAAAAACTAGGTCACAGGAGCTAAAAATAGAAAAACCTTGTTAACACTCTAGTGGTCACAATTTTGACTCAATTTGTCATCAAACTTGGTCAGGAAACTTGTCTAGGTCATTGCTGGGAATAAATCGAACATGGGACATTTCGGATGAAAAAACTAGGTCACAGGAGCTAAAAATAGAAAAAATCTTGTTAACACTCTAGTGGCTACTGTTGTGATCCAAATATTCTGTTAATTGGTCTGAAAGTTTGTTTTGATGATTTCTAAGTCAAGATCGAACATGGGTCATCTTGGATGAAAAACTAGGTCACACCGCCCAAATATGGAAAAACCTTGTTAACATTCTAGTGGTCACATTTTCGACTCAATTATCATCAAACTTGGTCAGGATGTTTGTCTAGGTAATTGCTTGGATGAGTTCGAAATCGCATGTGAAACTAGGTCACCGGAGCTAAAAATAGAAAAATCTTGTTAACACTCTAGTTGCTACTGTTTTGATCCAAGTATCCTGGAAATTGGTCTGAAAGTTTGTTTTGATGATTTCTAGGTCAAGTTTGAATATGTGTCACCTGGGTAAAAAACTAGGTCGCACTGCTCAAATATGGATAATCCTTGTTAACACTGTAGTGGTCACATTTTTGACTCACCTGTCATGAGACTTGGTCAGAATGCTTGTCTAGGTAATTGTTTGGATGAGTTTGATAATTCAGGTGAGCGATCTAGGGCCATCATGGCCCTCTTGTTTTGTTAAAGTGTTTCAGTTTTAATTTTATGCCTTTCCTATTCACAAAAAATGTGGTTGTCCTTTGTGATGTTGGCATATTTGGTAAAATTTATGTCTCTAACTCAAAGTTTTATATTTTCACTTGAAACAGCATGATTTAATAACATAGAGTTAGATGTCCAGGTCTCATAACTTTAACTTAAGTTTTGACTGAATTATGCCCCTTTGTGAACAAAATTTCACCAGATTTGACTGTTAATTTTTCATGTCATATCAAAATTGATTTACTACAAAATTATAAGACAATGGCTCCTTACAAATTTGTTTATACATGTATAAGATGAACTATAATCATTCATTTTTTGTACCTTTGAGAAAAACTTCTTTTACTTGCTTGACTGTGCTCTTCTTTTTTACAAATGTACTTCACATTTGAACTATTTTTTTTAAAAACACTAGCATGTGTGTTTCTTTTTTATGACGAAATAAAACCACAGGAGACCAGGTGTTTGACACCTGAATATCAACATTTTGTGCCACTAATGTTGAGAATATCAGGTCAACTTCACCAGTTAAAAGACCATTTAAATCATATCCTAGCAGTCTATTTTGTAAATGAGACTGAAAATAAATGGAAATGGTCAATTCTTAATTAAAGATAGCTAAATTAAAGATAGCTATTCCCATTTGTTTACTTAGCAGTTTAGGTGTATGCCTATTTGAATTTACCGTAATTGGTCAAGACATTCATCCATTCAGATTATTAAGATTCCAAATGTTTCTCCAGTCATATGTTTTTTAAACTTTGGTATTCTTTCACCAATAAATATCTAAGCTTTGAATTATACAATTTTGCCAGTACACTAGTTTTTATTAGCTCAACTTTTTTGAAGAAAAACTTCGAGCTATTGCTACAGTCAGGTTGTCGTTGCTGTTGCTGTTTAATAAATTTAACATAGATTGTAATCATACTTGGACACAACAAACCTTTGGACTTGACCTAAAAAGTTGAAGACTTATAGATGACGTTTGGTTGATTTTTGCTATAATTGGTTACTACTTCATACTTTGACACAACATCCCTTTTGACAAGTCCTTCAAAAAGTCTCAAGTAATGACCGTCACCCATCATTGACCTTGAAATCTTGAAGGTCAAATAATAAATTTTGCTCAAATTGTCATAATTTTATTGATTTACAGATTTGATTCCTACTTGAACAAAAAAAAAACATTGATAAAATAGACATGTTGAATTATTCTGATACAACCTTGACCTTAATAGAACTGTTTTCTTGATGTATTCCTTGATGTGTTTGACTTTAGAAATAGAAAAAGGTTGAGCGTAGTCCCCGCTTGGCGGTGGCTCTTGTTTGTATTATACACTGTATAAGCTTTGATATACTTCAATGATTACTTGAGTAGATCTCATATTTTTATATTAAATGAAATAAAAAAAGTTAAAATACAATATTATATGTGTTTTTTTGTTTTTTTTTAATGATTAAAGGAACTCCACTGAGGTCCAAATGCCTAGAAATATAAAATTTAAAAATATTACAAAGATCAAATGATTCACTTAAAATGGAAAAATCTACAAAGGATGATAAAGAAATATACTCAGAATTAAATTTAAAATAAAATTTTTGTGTGATTCTTAGCCAATTGTGGGTGAAAAGCTTTGCAATGCTTTTATCATTTAGTTATTATTCTGAAGAAACGGGGTGAGGGAATGACTTAAAAATTTGTGCAAAAGTAATTGGTCCAGACCTATATCAATTTACTTTTATTTCCGAAAAATTTCCAGTCTTGTCGTGTCGCAAAGAACTCGGTTGAGTCCCTTTTAACCCTTAATATCAGGGAATGAATTGGAATAAACTTCTAAACATAGCTCCAGTATTCTATGTTCTTTT